CACAAATTACCGGCTCGAAAGGAGATTCTATGGTATCTGGCTACACATTTTGAAAACCTTGCACGAGAAAATATTTTCAAGCATGTAGTAGATGAATGCATGGAACGAGGCAAAGAGAGACAGAGTTCAAACAAAAAAGCAAAGAAATGAAGTCGTTAGGTTACAATGTTGCATTATTTGGACCATACATTAAATTTGTATTTGCGAGATCGTTTGATTTTTGATTTTGAATGTTTATCGTTTATTAGATTTGTTATACAATTATGGATGTGACTGAATTTACGATTTCAATCGTCTAGAACAAGTGGTCGACCACATACTCAAAGCGGGCATACCCAAAGGCAGAGCACAGGTCGACCTCGTGATGCTTAAGGTCAACCTATGATACCGTAGCAAAGTCAAAAACCATGTAGAATATGGATGGAATCTCGTCTGTTTGGCCTTAATAAAATGCGGTCGACCATTTCAGTAAAGAGGTCGACCTGTTTCACATTTATAAACAACGGTCGACCATTTGTGTAAAGAGGTCGACCTGTTTCACATTTACCCAAGACGGTCGACCGTTTGTAAAAAGAGGTCGACCGTAATGAATCATGTCCTTGTACAATTAGGATTTTGTGTACTTGTCCTTGTCGAATTATGATTTTTTATAACTTTCACCAATTGGATAAGGAATTCGTCTAAATTATCTATAAATAGATGATAGTCGTAAGACTTTATTCGTACTTCGATTTATGCAATTTGTTGGAGTGAAGTTGTAATCTCATCGCTCTTATTGTGATCGGGTGTTGGTGGCGGTTTATTTTTATTCCGGTAGACCGAAACAATAAGTGGTCGACCTCTTTGCTAAGGTATGTCTCGTATGTGCTTGTTAATGCTTGTATGTGGTTAAATTTTTCCCACCATCCGGTCGACCACCTCCAATATCCGGTCGACCGTACTTTTGTAATTATATGATTTGGTCGACCTTTCAGTAAATTCAGGTCTACCGCAAGTTTGTTATTTAGTAATAAGGTCGACCGTACAGTTCATTCAGGTCGACCTGACGAGAGCTAATTGTGTATGTTTTTGAAATTAAGTTCGTATTCCGATCGTTGCAGGATGGATAACAGAGATGATACAGATGATAGAGATGATGATGAGGTTAACTTCGATGAGGAACCTAAGGATGCTCGAGAAGGAGCTATGGATCATTCAGATGATACAGATAATACGGATGATGAAGTGGTTGGGGATGATAATGAAACGGAGGGTGCTGAAGAAGAATTTATGGATGATGAAGAACCTACTGAATATGAACAAAAAATTCCTTCCATGGAGTTCCAAACATTAGAAGATGCAGAGAAATTTTACGATTCCTATGCTAAAGCGAAAGGATTTAGCGTTCGACGTAGAGATCTTCGGAGGAATCGTCGAGGAGTAGCAATTGGGAGGACAGTGGTATGTTCGAGAGAGGGGACTAGAGATACGATGCATATAGATAAAGAAGGTCGGACTCGATAACATCGTAAGATGACAAGACATTATTGCAAGGCATCTTATACTGTACGCTTTGATCGGAATAAGAAAATGTGGGTTGTTTCTAAGTTTGAGAGGAAGCACTCACATCGTTGCTGCAATGAAGAAGAAACTCAATTCCTTCGGTCTCATCGAAATGTGAGTGAAGGAGACAAGGCTCTGGCGATAGGGATGCGACAGTCAGGAATAAAACAACGCAACATTGTTCAGTTCATGAAGAATAAAGTTGGAGGATATGAGAATCTGGGGTATACTCCAAAGGATTTGGACAATGCTGTTCAGCAATCCCAAACAGTTGACAACGATCTAATAGGAGATGTTAACCGAACATTGGGTTACTTGCAAAGTAAACATACCTTTGATGCAGGCAGCTTCTTCAAGTACACAACCAACGATGAAGGTGAATTAGGCAATCTCTTCTGGTCGGACTCCACATCTAGAGGAGATTACCATTTTTTGGGGATGTCTTGGCGTTCGATGCATGCTACAAGCACAACAAGTACAATCGACCATTTGTTATGATGGTTGGTGTAAATCACCACCACCGTAACATCATATATGGTTTTGCCCAGTTGGATAACGAGTCAATCCCCAACTATGTTTGGTTGTTGAATACTTTTCTGGAGTGTATGAACTCTAAGATGCCAACTTCAGTGATCACAGACGGAGACAAGTCTATGCGTGGTGCCATTGCTACTGTTCTGGTTGGAGTGCCTCACCGTCTTTGTATTTGGCATATTGAGACAAATGCGACAACGGCCGTTCATAATAAGGAGTTCGTTAGCGCATTCACTTACTTGGCGAAAGCACGAATATCGATTGAGGAGTTTGAGAGGCGTTGGGAGCATTTGATTAGTCAGCATGGTTTGTCTGCAAATAAGTGGTTGCAGGATTTGTACGCTGACAAATTACTGTGGGCAGAGGCATACTTGAAGGATATTTATTTCGGTGGACTCCAATCAACCTCGCGATGTGAGTCATGTAACCATTGGATAAATGGGTATGTGGGAACTCAATATACAGCTTGCAACGTTTTGTTCAGGGCATTGATGAAGCACTGGAGGGGATGCGTTTCACGGAGGTGCAGGATGATTATACTTCTAGGCACACGAGGTTGGTCTGCAAGCATGCCCTTCGCACTTGGGAAATGCAAGCTGAAAGTATCTACACTCATCGTACATTTGCTATCTTCAAGTCTGAACTAGAAAATGAAGCTTCTTATGTATTAGCGGAGAGAAGAACTGAATCAGATGGAACAGAGACATTCATACTGAAGAACTACATGAACCCAGATCGGATAAGGCGGTTAACATTTACTACGTCCAATCAAGATCTAAAATGCGAGTGTGCATTATTTGAATCTAAGGGGTTTCCATGCAGACACATGCTTACAGTAATAAAAAATATGGGATACACCGCACTACCCTCGTCGTGGTTCAAGCTTCGATGGACCCAAAATGCGAAGACACTAAATCGTCATCCTGGAGTTGGAGGTGATGTGGCAGAGAAAGTTGGTCGACTGATAAGACATGGAGGATTGGCTCTAAAGTGTAAGCGTTTATGTGACATCGCGTGTGGTAGTGAATCTGCTTTTAATCATGTCTCTAAGACGTTGGACGACCTTACTGAATGGGCAATTGAGTTCGCGAGGGAGAGAACGGACAACACCACACCGGCAAACCCTCCAGCACCCCTTCGAAGTGTGAAAGATCCAAAAATTGGGAAGACCAAGGGGACATTCAAGTCAGCACGAACTGCATCGGGCAAAAGTTTAAGAAAGTGTTCGAAATGTGGGAAATATGGTCATTTTCGCCCTAAGTGCCCGAAACAAAGTCCCAAAAAACAATCTTAAATTTCTTCTATTGTTTTTTATGAGTTTATTTATATTTTAATAACTGTGATTGCATTGTAATTTCTTCGAATTATCTTAATAATTTATGATTTAATTGATTGTTGGTTGAAATAAACAATAGCAATAAAACGGTCGACCTCATACAAATAACGGTCGACCTGAACACACACGGTCGACCGAACAAGTTAGTTAGGTCGACCGCGTATTTAATTCGGCCGACCAAACCGGTTTGTTTGCAACATCCACCCAAACCTCCCCCAATCCTCTATTTAAGAAACCCTCTCCCACTCATTCTACACCACAATCAGAACCCTATCCCACCACATCCACTCATTCTTCCTCTCCTTTCCCTTCTTCATCTTCTTCTCCATTTTCCAAAAACTCCATTTTCCAAAAACCCAAAGAAAGCTTCATCCTCTTCATCCTCATCACTTAGAAGAAGAACAAGGTATAGCTTTCAGTCCTCTTTTTTATTTGAGTCGATTCTTGTCTTCTTCTTTTTGTTTTCAAAAAATTTAAAGATGTAAAAGAGGGATTTTTCCTTCTGTTTGTCAGAAGCGATCGACCTGTTCATCATCGTGGTCGGCCGCAACTGGCTTTTAATCTATTTTATTTCTGTTTTATGGACTGAGGTCGACCTATGATGATATTGAGGTCGACCGGTGAAGTTCGAGTTGAGATTTCTGGCCTTATTATTTAGATCTGTAGCTTTAAAAGATTGATTTTCCCTTCTGTTTGCCAGATGAGGTCGACCTTCTCATATTCGTGGTCGACCGCATCTGGCTTTCAATCGATTTTTCCTTTTGTTGTATAGACTGAGCTCGACCTATGATGATATTGAGGTCGACCTGTGAAGTTTTCCTACGATATTATGTACATCTATAGCTTCAAAAGAGGGACTTTGTCCTTCTGTTTGCCAGATGAGGTCGACCTTTTCATAACCATGGTCGACCGCATCTGGCTTTCAAGCGATTTTTCCTTTTGTTGTATAGACTGAGGTCGACCTATGATGATATTGAGGTCGACCTGTGAAGTTTTCCTACGATATTATGGACATCTATAGCTTCAAAAGAGGGACTTTGTCCTTCTGTTTGCCAGATGAGGTCGACCTTTTCATAACCATGGTCGACCGCATCTGGCTTTCAAGCGATTTTATTTCTGTTTTATTCGTTTTAATTTAGCCGAGGTCGACCTGTGATGATTCTGAGGTCGACCTATGAAGGCAAAAGTTCTAGTTGTGCCATTCATTGTCTTTGAATTATTTGTGCGAAACTAACACTGGTCGACCGCTTCTATTTATGAGGTCGACCGGATATGTTTTGCACTCAATTGCTACAAGCATTTGGGCCATTTCGGACTCGTTTTAATTTAGCCGAGGTCGACCTATGATGCTTCTGAGGTCGACCTATGAAGGCAAAAGTTTGATTTATTTGTGCTAAACTTATTGAGGTCGACCTCGGGCCATTTAAATCGATTGAAAGCCAATTGTGACTTTCAAAAGGCGTGCAGTGCAGGAGATTAGGCCATCTTGCAATGCACTCGAAGACATAAACGATTGTGTCTTCGAGTGCATTACAAGGTGGTCTAATGTCCTGAACTGCACGGCTTTTGAAACCACAATTGGCTTTCAATCGATTTAAATTTTCCGAGGTCGATTTATGTTTTTTCTTAGGTCGACCGGATCTGTTTTGCACTCAATTGGTACGAGGATTTGGCCCATTTTAGACTCGTTTCAATTTAGCCGAGGTCGACCTTTGATGCTTCTGAGGTCGACCTATGAAGGCAAAAGTTCGAGTTGTGCAATTGTCTTTGAATTATTTGTGCGAAACTAACACTGGTCGACCTCTTCTAATTATGAGGTCGACCGGATCTGTTTTGCACTCAATTGGTACGAGGATTTGGCCCATTTTAGACTCGTTTCAATTTAGCCGAGGTCGACCTATGATGCTTCTGAGGTTGACCTATGAAGGCAAAAGTTCGAGTTGTGCAATTGTCTTTGAATTATTTGTGCGAAACTAACACTGGTCGACCTCTTCTAATTATGAGGTCGACCGGATCTGTTTTGCACTCAATTGGTACGAGGATTTGGCCCATTTTAGACTCGTTTCAATTTAGCCGAGGTCGACCTATGATGCTTCTGAGGTCGACCTATGAAGGCAAAAGTTTGAGTTGTGCAATTGTCTTTGAATTATTTGTGCGAAACTAACACTGGTTGACCTCTTCTAATTATGAGGTCGACCGGATCTGTTTTGCACTCAATTGGTACGAGGATTTGGGCCATTTTAGACTCGTTTCAATTTAGCCGAGGTCGAGCTATGATGCTTCTGAGGTCGACCGATGAAGGCAAAAATTCGTTTATGTCGACCCATTCCCGTTTTAAATTAACTGAGGTCGACCTATGATTCTTTTGAGGTCGACCCATTCTCGTTTTAAACTAACTGAGGTCGACCCCTTTATGGAGTGGTCGACCGCGTATTGTTCAATTCGAAAATGTGACTAACGTGTATTCTTGCTTGTTTAATGGCAGGATGTTTGGCAAAAATAAGAAAAGAAAGTCACAAAAAGCTGCTGCCTCTAATTCGGAATGGGAAGAGTTCAATCCCAAACTGTTCCAGACCAATGATCAAAGTGACAACTATGAAGAGAAGAGAATGCACAACCGCAGGGTGGCTCCTGGAAGGCCATTGACGACGGATGCGTATTCTCATTTCGAGAATTACGGGTTTCTGGCACCCTTCATCGAGCAAGAGTGGCTGAAGGTGATATCACTCAATGTACCATACTACCCAAAAATGGTACAATACTTCTACAACAACATCGTCTACGAGAAAAATGCAAATGGATCCATTCACGCATTCAAATCCTATGTGAATGGGGTGGCGATGCGCATCAGCAAGAAGGTGTTGGCGCAAGTACTTGAGGCTCCAAACGAGGGGAAGAGAATCAATTCTTACGGTGCTTGGAATGAAACGCATTTCACGAGAGCCAAGCAAATCCAGACGGTATGTGGTCTTGATGAAGAGGAAGATGCTCAGGGGCGCAATAGGCTATCGAGTAACCACCTGACAGTTCAAGCCAGATTTCTTCACCACATGCTTTTCTACAACATTCTGCCAAAGGGTGGACATCGGGAGACAGTCACCTACTTCGACATGGAGCTCCTCACCCACCTACTGTTAAACGAGAAGGTGAACTTGCCATACTTGATCTTTAACCACATGCTTACTACTGCAGAGAGTTCAAACAGGAATCTTCCCTATGGGATGATCCTCACTGTGCTATTTGAGCATTTTAATGTGAATTTAAGTGAAGAGGTGGGGTTAAGAATCTCAAGGCAGGAGTTCTATACTGTTTCATCTCTGAAAAAGATGGGCTTTGAGCTGCGTAATGGTGAGTATGTCAGAGTAAACAATGCTCATGGTGGTGATGATGATGATGATGATGATGAGGGTGATGAAGGAGCTCGAGACGAGCCAATGGCGGAGGCACAGAGTTCAACTCCACCGATCACCTTACAGCGTGTGTGGGAGCGCATGGATGGCATGTACGAGTACATGGGCCAGATGTCCACCCAGATGACTGGCATGCACGAATACATGGGGCAAATGACCGCCCAGATGAGCACAATGCAGGTGACCGTGAATGAGATGCGAGATGAGTGGCGATCTTTCAGCGGAAGATACATGCATCCCACCACATCCGACCACCATCATGCTAGCACCACCAATAAAGAAAATGTGGATGAGAGAGAGGGGGGAGATGAGTAGGAGAAATGAGTTTTTATATTGTGTGTTTTAGTGGTCAAAACGATTGTTGATTGTTATTCTGTTGTTTTTTTAGTTTTAATTTTATGTGTGAACAATTATGATTTCTGTTTTATTTTTAGTTGTTATGCTATGAATTGATGAGTCCTTGTTATAATTATTTATGCCTAATTATGATGGTTTGAAACATAATTTATACGATTAAAAGAACCACACAAATCGACATACATAAGCAAAAAAGACATGGGGCATAGGGTGACTTTCTTGTATTCGGTCGACCTCGTACCGGATTAGGTCGACCGCGAAACCAACACTTGATCTTGATTTTACGTCAAATAATTGGACACTTTGATAGAACACTTATCTTCTATCTGGTCGACCTCTTTCCTTATCCGGTCGACCATTTTGTTAATGACTGCCATCAAGTGGTCGACCTATATACCTTAGGTGGTCGACCATGTTGTTTCTGACGCCAACGAAATGGCCGACCCAGGTTTTATTCTGGTCGACGAAAAATAACAACTTAAACTAAGTGCGGTCGACCAGGTGGTCGTTGAGGTCGACCGCAATGCTTTCTCGTGCTGCCCAAATTAGTTGATTCGGTCGACCGCCTTCAGCAATAGGTCGACCGAAAAGTGCATGTCACCGTGACATGCATGTCATAGTAGGCATACCCAAATCATTTATGTGGTAGAAAATCTCAATTCTATGTATAAGTATTTTGGTGATCTAAAAACGTAACTTTTAAGCTTTAAAGTATAGTTTTTTTTACTACAATTGTAAGTGAAAAACGCGATTCTAAGTAGAACAGTTTTGGTAACCTAAAAGTGTAAAAGCGTATTCTTTTTTCTTAAGTTTTAAATCGCGATTTTAACCACATTGATATCAAGATTTTCATACGTGTTAATTTTTATATTAATTTATTATATTTATGTATGACAATTATGACTCAGAAATGAACTGCATTTCTAGTAGTTAACTAAACTAGAAAAATCATAACTTATAATTAGGATTTGTAATAAATTGCAAATTCGAAATGGAATTTGATGAAGGCAGGCAATAGTGCCTTTCTCGCCGAAATCCGAGGGGCAGCCAGTCCCTCAACTCTCTTCATTATTAGTTGCATTCATAGCTCAGTTCTTGGGAGAAAAACTCTTTCGAGGATATAGTAGGCACAGAGCCACGGTTCGTGAGAGAAATCATTGTCTTCTCTAATGTCATCGTCGTCCATAGCCCTCCTAATGTACTCTTGTGCAGGAATGGACACTTGAACCTCACACAACAACTCGTCACGTGGATTCTTCCTTGGTTGCATGACTGTTTGTATAGTTTTGGTCGGACTCGAAAAAATGGGGAAGAGTAACAAAAGGAACTAGAGTGAAAGAGAATGGGATGATTGTTTCGATTCTCATCCCAAACACATCCCACGTTGTCTCTCTCTCAAACTAAAATCACGTGCTCACGATCACAGAAAATACTTCTTACAAAAAATGCCCCTTCCCGCTAAACCACTATCGATTTTAAGAAAAGAAAAACGGAAGGATATAAAAGGAGTTATCAAGTGCTAACCCCGTTCATGATATTGATATGGCTTGGAAGGTTGGATGTCGTGTTCTATAGATCGAATCTGATTCTTAATTGGCCATTTAGCTCATTAGTGATAGACATGATCAGGTGCATCCTTATGCGACCCTTCTTGCAGCTATTCGGAGAAAACTAAGACAAGATTGGTTGGTTAGCATTGCTCATACATATCGGAAAGGGAATAGAGTCGTGGATTGGCTCTCGAAGCACAGTCTCGTCTATCCCTACGGTATGTATGAACTTGCAGATCCACCACAAGGCATAGCTGGTCTTCTTCGGGATGACTTGCGGGGATCACATTCGAACGTAGAATCCCCACTTGTCCCTCTACTTCTCCACCTCTCCTCTGATGATGTAACTCTTTTTCTAAGCTGCGGCCTCCTTGTATAAAAAAAAGAAGTGCTAACCCCGTTCTATCGTCGTATCACGACCCCTCAATCAAACCTTGGGGCGATCTCGTAGTGTTGGCATGACATTTTGTTCCATTATGTGTATATTAGTAAAGTAATGTGTTTTGTTTAAATATTTATTATTTGGAAAATATCAAATGTGAGTGTATGTATTTGAAATTGAGAAATATGTATAAACCAAAAGAAACAACACACTAGATTAACGTGGTATCCCTGATTGATGAATCGACCAGGACTAATCCACGGGAGAAGGGAAACCTCTCCAGCTGTAGCTTTATTTCTTATGAACAACTTATAATGGCCGAATGGCCTACATCATTATATAACATCATGCTATGTAGGGCTTTACAAGCAAACCCTAAACTACTTGTAGTTGTTGACTCGAGACACATGGCCTCGTGGGACTGTGGCCAATCTTCACCAACAGGCTTCTCCAGCTTGGATGCTGCCTTAGGCTCTCGTGGGATGGGTCGAATCCTCTCTCAGTCCAAAAGCTCCCTCAAGTTGGACGGTGGATGTATCGAACGTTCAACTTGAAGAGTATAAATCGAAATCGATCTGCACCCAACCCCTTTATAAAGAGATCAACAACCTGTTGATAAGAAATTACCTTAAGTGGAAGAATGGCACATGAGGCAAAATATTCACGCACAAAATAGCGATCTATTTTCACATTCTTGGTACGCTCGTGGAAAACGAGATCAGCTGCAACATGGAGAGCCGCCGGATTATCGCAGTAGAGGGGATTGGGTCTAGACAGAGGTACTCCAAGTTCCTTAAGTAACCAGTGCAACCAAATAAGCTCATTGACATTGCTAGCCATTAACACAATATATTCGGCTTAGCAGACGAACGCACAACCATTCTATGTCGTTTGGTGCACCAAGAGATAAGAGCACTGCCAAGCGAAATGAAAAAAACCACTGGTTGACAGATGAGTGGTTTGACACTCACACCAATCCGCATCACAATGCGCAACAAGCTCAAGATTATTGTTGGTGGGAAAATACAGCCCCTGACCTGGCGACTTCTTCATGTATCTCAAAATTCGCTTGCGACATCTATATGACCTTGAGGAGGAACATTGACAAACCAACTCAAGATATCGACCCCATGTGTCATGTCGTGAACCAGTGAGTTAAATAAGATGACCCACCAAGCAACGATAAGATTAGCCATTAGCCAACGACTCGGATGTGGGGACTAGTAAGATGGTTATTTTGCTCTACTGGAAATTCACAGGGTCGTGCACCAAGGATGCCGGCTTCTTCAAGGATGTCAAGTACATACTTGCATTGGCTACGAAGGAGTCGTTGTGGTGAACGAGCTGCCTCCAACCCAAGAAAATACCAAAGTACCCCAAGATCTTTAATAATTAACTTCTCGTTGAGGAGCTGCTTGGAATGGGTGATGAATTCCATATTATCTCTTGCCAAGATGACTTCGTCGACGTAAATCAACTCGACGCCAAATGCCCCTTCCTTGCGGTAAATAAAGAGCGTGTGGTCTGCGGGAGACGAGTGAAAACCCAGATCACCGAGGGCAGCGGTGAACTTCTAGTAACGATTCCAAAATGCGTAACGCAACCCATAAATAGATTTATGGAGGTGACACACCCTGGTTTCACCATCCGACGCAAAGCCAGGAGAAATTTTCATATACACTTCTTCATCAAGATCCCCATGAAGAAAGACATTGTTTACGTCGAGTTGATGAATAAACCATCCCCGACTGACCGCAACTGCAAGCAGACATCGAACTATTACCAATTTTGCAACCAGAGCAAATGTGTCATGATTATCGACATCCTCAATCTTCGTGTAGCCTTTGGAAACCAACCTTTCTTTGAATCTTTCAACCTCTCCATTCGGTTGATACTTTGCTTAAAACCCCATTTACAATCAATGGTGGGCTTACTAGAAGGAAGCTCGATTAGACTCCACGTTCCATTAGCTACAAGAACCGCAATTTCTCTTGCCATGTCCTCTCTCTAGTGCGCATAACGAACCACCTGGCCACAAGTAGTAGGCTAAAATACACAATCAAATGTAGCTAAGAAAATCCAATATGCTTGAGAAACACGAGCATATGAAATGTGGTGAGATAGAGGGTATCGAACATGGGAGACATAATGGAGACAAGTGATAACGCCATATTCGAACATGTTTTTCCCGTCACTTCTCGACGGTTTAAGCTTGGTTTATCGCTCTCGTGGCCTATTTTACGCTAGGTTGTGTTCGTTTATGATGTTTCAGGACTTAATACGTGCACGAAGGAGCGAAGTTTTGAGACATTTGGATCGAGTGGGAAGTGCAATTCTGGGAGTTATGGCCAGACCTTGCAAGTTACGGTCTCGCCCGTAACTTCCTTAGAGGAGCCGTAACTCGCGAGTGGAGAGCGAAGAGTTCCAGGAGGCTTCTTAGAGTTACAGGCTGACCTTCTAAGTTACAATCGAGGCCGTAACTTAGCCTTTTCACCCGTAACTACTGGGAAGCGTCGACATCAGTTCCAGAAGCATTTTTGGAGTTACGGTCTCCCTCTTCAAGTTAAGGTCCAGACCGTAACTCCTCCAAAGAAGCCGTAACTCTTGGTTTACGGTGTGCAACAATGACGTCGTTCCTCTACAAATTACGGGCAGTCAAGGCAAGTTATGGCCGTAACTTCAGCCGTAACTCGCGGATTCGCAGCCTATTTAAAGGCTGCTCGGGAAATTTGAAAAGGATCTGATTTTCTGAGTTCTAAAGGCAGAAAACGAACCCTAGAGAGAGAGAGAGTGACGAGGAGAAACCTTTTGGAAATGATTGGAGCTATCTGAAGACCTCGGAGCTCGATTCCCCAACCTCGGAGTACCGATTAGCCGCCAGGAGCAGTTGTCCATTATCATTCTGATGATGTCTACTCCGAGCATGACGTTCTCACATCTCTCGATGGAGTAATTTTTCATTTCATATCGGTATGAAGAACCCTAGTTGTGTATGTGAGGAATGATTGTATGAAGCCCATGTTATGAATGATTGATTTGATAAATTCAGTTGATGAATTATTCGGAATAGCATGAGTGCTGATCAAACCTGTGTAATTCCGGCTTTAAGTTAGAACAATAGTCTCTACATAGGTTAAAAAAGCAACCTTTAATTGAAAGTGGTGAATCGACTACTTTAGTCGAGAAGTCGATTCACTACTCCGTACTGGAATAAAGGCTAGTAGTTGAAGTTTCACGTGTTTAACCTTGGTTAGTGTATGCCGGTGGAGGTTATTCGCTCGCCGGGTATTCGAATCAAGAGGTTCTGGATAACTTTAGTCGAGAGTCCAACCAATAAAGAACTTTCCGCGGTTTATCTATTAATTTGAGTAATTTGGGATAGTATAACTTGAACTAGCTGCACGCTAGGGGGAACCATATCTGGATGACTGTTTGAACCAGAAAAGAACTAGACCATTACTTGTTTTTTATTTCATTTGCACCGAAATCACTACACTCTCTTAGTCCTGCTAAATAATAGGAGTTCACTAAGTAGGCAGTGATCCTTGTTGGGGTAGGCCTACCAGGTGAAGCTAAGTTGTCTCTAGTACAAGTAAAAATTCCACCCATTGAACGATTTGCTTACTCGAGGATGTGTTTTTAAGGGCATGAATAGATCTTCTGACACCCCTTAATTACAATGACCCTTCACACCGGTTGAGGAAAAGGAGTTAAAAGAAGAACTCTAGCGAGCGACAGATGTACAGAAATTGCTCTTGCTCAACCAATATGAGTACACCACGCATAAAATTGCAGTTTGGAACCCCAGCAAAGTGTGAATGAGAAAAACAAAAGAAAAATAAAATGAAAATGCGAAAAGGGGTTCCAACGATTGAAATGAAATGGAAGAGGACCTGATACGAAGAGTCCTTGGTCGTTAAAATTTTGTGAATCTCCTTATCCATAAATTGGCTGTCTTAGTTCCACTGCTTCTCATGATCTTGGCTTGAATCTAGTACTTTCATTGAGAGAGATAGGGGGATTCTTAGAAGAACTGTAACATCCCGTATCTGGGTTGAATCTTACACCAAACCGGTTCGACGCATAAACAAAGAAGGAATTCAACATGATTGAAAGAACCATTCATCCTCATCAATGAATGACGTTAAAAAAATATAGCACGAAAGGAGTATGGTAGAGGGTGAAAACACGAACGCGTGAGCTCAGACGATTACAAAATCTGTTGTCAAATGAAAGAGTTATGAGCTAAATGGTGGAAGTTGTCTCAAACCTGACAAAGAGTAAAAATATTAAGAGCGGGGCCAAGGTTCGACCTTGTGACAAAAGGTTCATCACCACCGCCGCTAACCAGTTGGACTACATTTTATAGTTATGATTAAATAAGCCATTTTACTTTTTATTACTGACTAACTAACGAGGTCAATTTTTAAAACAACAAACGAAGTTCCCTGGACATATCTTCTTTCCAAAATAGCTGAACCCATTCAAAATAAGTCTGCCAGCATCTTTTGTATGTATATATATATACTTTGTAAACACTTGGAAGAGGAGAGAGCCACGCCAGCATTAATACAAATATATTAATCGTAGTTGGAAGATGACAAATGAGCATAAATGGAGCTATGTCCCGATTCAATTTTCAACGACTCCATTGTCGAGAAATTGAATCTCCAACCGCTAAGCTGTCGAAAGTTCACGAGCTAGGCGTGCAAAATTAATGACAACGTTATCCGGAGAAGAGAGCTTCATAAAGAAAGCTTTAAGAAGAGACTCTCACTCGTTCTTTTCTCCCTCCATTTCGCAACCTTCATTTCTGAAAACACAAGCACGTCGACTCAAACCTTTCTTCAAAAACTGAATACCATCTCGAAGAGGACGGAGAGGTTTCCCACCAGCCAGAAGAGCCTCTGAAACCTTGTCGGATCCTCGCCAGAGTTTCCTGGAATCCCATGACGGCGACAACGTCAACTCCGACCTCAACCATCTTTCGAGTGGCCGGTACCTTTGCGAAGAGGGTGATCCCAGGATCACGCACGTTTCGACGAAATCAAATTTCGACGTTGGACGAGGGAGAAATGAGCCTCGCAAGTTGGCCAAGTAGAACTGTCAGTTTCTGAAAGTCAGGAACTGTTTTTGTAAATTCGAAATGTATGAGGACCCGAACGGAAGAATTCCATAGGAAGGGTCAACTTGCTGGTTGACTAGGAAACTATAAATTCAGTACCTGTTACATCGAGAACTGACAAAATTCGTATTTTGGCCGTAATTTGTTTGTTTGACTTCCAAACGACGAACCGTCTTCGCCTACACAATTGTACAGACGAGGAGAATTTTATCAAGGAGGATTGGAATTTTTAAAGCAGCTGGGCAGAGTTTATTTACGTCATAAATAAGGTGTGTGGACACTGCGGTGAATAGGAGGTGTTTTACTACGTGCTATGTGTTTGATATTGAAACATAGCTGAGGATTTAACAAAGATAAAATGAAGAATGTCGTTATTATAATTTTGGTACTCGAGTAGAATTGGATGATTCATAATCGAGTATTTGGAATTTATGACTTTGTAATCGATCCCTACTAATCGTGAAATTCCTTGAGACTACGTTGTTACTATTTTAATAATTCATGACGTGATATCATGCCATGAGTTATATGAAATTCCGCCTACGATATAATAATTCTCCTAATAAGACTATTTGGGATAATCATTAAACCACGAACGAATTCGTAATAATTTGCATAATGGACAGCTACCATGGGAGAATTCTGTCTAGGCTAGTGGTTTTTAATCGAGACCTTCGTGGTACTCGTCCACTTACCTGGGAATTCACTCGGTAAAATCTTTTGGGAATACGATTGTAAGAAGTGTACTACGAGTAGTGGCACTTCTTCCCCTTCCCCAAGTTTTTACCACTGCGGGTCCGCCATTCGAATTACTCGGTGATTATCACCGATTAAATGGTTAACGAACCTTGTACAAGGATTTGAACTGTCCATCTTATACGTTGAATGTACGATAACGATAATGTTTGCGAATGAATTTCTACTTGATAATTTGATGGATGATATGATAATTTTGTCGTATGCATGAGATGTACGAATTAGCGTTTGGCATAGACTTAGTAATTACACCAAGATCGATTGAGATGGATGATTATTATATTGAGATTATGATGAGAATGATGATTTTATATGATGTTCATATTAATCACATAGACTTAGAAGGGGCCTGCATTTACCCCCAACCATTTGATATCATTACTGCGATCATTAGGATCGATGAGGCCAATGGCCAAAGAGATATGATTGTGGTTTCTGATATAACCACTAAGATGATGAGGCTCGAGTGGGGGTGGATGTATGGTGACCTTGGCGCCCAAATTAATAAAATGGAAATGCATTGTACTTGCATATTGTTTAGATATTGGATGCGAGGTTGAGAATTATATTAGGTTGAGACTTCAACCTAGATGCCATGATGAGGTGGTTAATCGATTGATGTGGAAAACGTATCCATAGACACTGCCGTGTAGGAGGGAACAACGCCACATAGCTAAATTAGTTAGCTGACCCCCTCCTCTTTTGTGTTCAGATCCACAACAGAGGAACTGAGTTTGGACGTCGGAGGTGTGCAACTTCTACTCCATCATGAGGTATCGGACAATTGGTCGGAGAGAGTTTTTACTTATGTTTTGTATTTTAAAACAAGTATCATAAACATGTATTATGTTGGGTTTGATTGCATTGAACTTGATCGATTGAGTTATTATGATTTATGGATTGTACCAAAGTATGTAAGTTGAACATTTGAGTTTCAACGAACAAGTGTTTGGATTTGATGTCATGAATTGGATGTTGTATGTTTAATAAACGAGATTGGATATTAATAAATGTGTTAGATTTGAAATGTATATATGTTCACCTCGAGTTATGTTTAGTAAACGAAAGATGCATATGTATTGAATGGTGAGTTAATACGTAAACCCCGTTAGTATTTTCTGCAGTGCGGGCGAACCAGTGATTCGACCCATGAATTTGAGGGTGGGGTTTTACAACTGGTATCAGAGCCTGGTTAGCCTTCTGCATTATAGGTATGTTACTTCCACCTCTGAGGATTAGCTTCCCTCAGCAAGGGAGAGGTACTCCATACCCGCACTTGCACTAGCGTAGCTGGGGAATGAGACTAAAACATGATGATGTGTGCATAGTCTGAGTCAGTTGCATCGTTTTGAAAAGTTATTTATGTATTTTTCCAAACGAGATGGGAAAGGGTTTCCTACGATTTTATTTAAATCTAACTTTTAAACGAGAACTAAAAATTGATTTTTCCTCCTCCATAGTGACCAATCGGAGCATAACAACTACACGCCTCCAGCTGGGAATCCACAAGGGACGGGAGTGATGATGGAAGTATTGTGGAAAAACCCTCTACGCGAATTCAAAGGGGAGTCGACAGATCCCCAAGAAGCTGTCGATTGGCTTAGAGAGACGGACGTACAATTTGACTACCTCAGTTACAACGTGAGGCAGAGACTGGAGGCATTGATAATGCTTTTAAAAGGATGCACTACGTTGGTGGAAATCACAAAAGGCTGGAGTAACCTTTCCACCAACCATCTATTATCAGGAGTTTATGGTGTTGTTCAAAAATACTTTCTTTCCTCGACAATGGCTGAACCAGAAGAGGCGAGAGTTTGACAATTTGAAGCAAGGAGATAACACAATCATGGCTTACTACCTTCGATTCTTTGAATTTTCTGAATGGTTTGATATCGAGGAAGACCGAGAGAGGAGACTAGTTGAACAATTCCTTAATGGTCTTCGGCCAAACATCAAGGAGGGATTATCTTCGGGAGACATGACCGACCTAACCAATATAGGCTGCACTAAGGAGAGAATGCATAGAGGATGAAAAGAAGCAAGCATGGAAAGAGAAGGGTGAAAGGAGGAAGGCACACACTCAACCTTCACAATCAGTTGGAAACAACCTGTCTCGAAGGTTAAACGAAACCTACAGTGGGCAAGGCATTGCGCGTTCAGCTACATGTACAAACACTGGGCCTGCCAGATACCCGCCTTGCCAAGTTTGCGGGAGGATGCACATGGGAGCGTGCAGAATGGCGTCCCAATCTGTGAGCATTGTATGCTACACTTGTGGTCAACCCGGACACAAGAGTTATCAATGTCCTTCCAGTCGTGCTGCACCTACGCAGTCAGTGGGATCTGTGCAAGGACCAATAGCTCCGTCCAGGAGCGGGACAAGGAGAGGAAGTCAAGGTGGCAACAACAACTTTAGAGGGACGGGATCAAATGCTTATCCGTTGGGAAAACAAGGGTCCCAAGCAGGAGGACAAGGAGCGGGGACACAATCACATGGCAGAGTTTTTACTCTTACTCGTGGCGCTGTTGAGACCGCTCCAGATGTGGTCACTGGTACGATTTCTTTTATGGGCCAGAATTTATATGCATTATTCGATATTGGATCTTCACATTCCTTCATATCAGAGAAGTGTGCATAAAAAATTCCTATTATGCTAGGAAAATTGAGTACCAGTCTAGGTGTACGAACACCTCTGGGTACTTCAGTAAGGGTAGATCGAATTCTACCTAAATGTTGTATTAAGATAGAAGGAGTGAAGTTGGAGGCAGAATTAATCATCCTGCCTTTCAACGAATTTGATGTCATACTTGGCATGGACTGGTTATCTCGACACGGAGCTGTGTTGGATTGCCAGAAGAAGGAGGTGCGTCTATTTGATGGGCTTGGAAGACAAATCATATTTCGAGGCTTAAGAAGGAGAGAATCCGAACCAATGGGCTTGATCTCAACAATGGAAGCATACGCTCTGGTGAGAGAAGGATGTCAAGCATTCCTCGTCCAAGTAGAGACAAAGGAGGAAAAGCTTGAGGAAGTCAAGGTCGTAAATGAATTTTAGGATGTATTTCCTGATGATCTCCTTGGAATCCCCATAGAACGAGTAGTAGATTTTGACATCGAGTTAGTACCTAGTACTGCCGCGATATCAATTCCACCATACCGAATGGCGCCAGTGGAACTGAAAGAATTCAAAGAACAGTTGCAAGAACTGTTAGACAAAGGGTTCATATGACCAAGTACTTCGCCTTGGGGAGCATCGGTTTTGTTCGCGAAGAAGAAAGATGGCTCTATACGAATGTGCATAGACTACAGAAGGTTGAACAAAGCAATGGTCAAGAATAGATACCCATTATCTCGTATAGACGATATTTTCGATCAATTACAAGGGGCCTCAGTCTTCTCCAAAAATGACTTGAGATCTGGGCATTACGAATTTCTTGTCATGCCGTTTGGACTCACAAATGCTCCATCAGTATTCATGGCTCTCATGAACAAAGTTTTCCATGAATACATTGACAAATTCGTCATAGTATTCATCGACGACATCCTCATTTATTCAAAGAGGGAGGAAGAACATGCAGAGCATTTGAGACTGGTATTACACACTCTACGGGAGGAGAAGTTGTATGCCAAGTTCTCAAAATGTGAATTTTGGATCCAAGAAGTTCTATTCTTGGGACACGTGGTGTCTGGACGAGGAGTAGAAGTCGACCCCAAGAAGATTGAAGCGGTAGTAAACTGGTCTCCACCCAAAGACGTACCATAGTGGCGTAGCTTTCTGGGATTGGCAGGCTACTATCGCCTATTTGTGGAAGGGTTCTCCAAAATAGCCTCACCACTGACAAAGTTGTTGAGGAAAGAAACCCGATATGTCTGTTCGGAAGAATGGCAGAAGAGTTTCGAAGAACTTAAACGAAAACTTACTCCTGCCCCTATACTGACATTGCCAGTAGAAGGAGGGGAGTATGTCGTTTATAGTGATGCTTCGTATCAAGGCTTGGGTTGCGTTATGATGCAAAATGGGAAAGTAATTGCTTATGCCTCGAGACAATTAAGGCCACATCACACATGAAGTGAACTACCCAACTCATGATATGAAATTAGCAGTTGTGGTGTTTGCGTTGAAATTATGGAGGCGTTATCTTTATGGTGAGACCTTCAAAATTATGACCGACCACAAAAGTCTGAAATACCTCATGGATCAAAAAGAGCTTAATGGTAGACAAAGGCAATGGGTAGAGTTACTCAAAGACTACGACTGCACCATCGATTACCATCCTGGTAAGGCGAATGTTGTTGCTGATGCTTTGAGTCGAAGAGAAAGATTGCCAACTCTGGTGGAGATGAGGGCCATGGGTGTGGAGATGCAAGTTGAAGATATCACCACCCTGGTTGCACATCTAAGTATTTGATCGATGTTGCACGATCGAATCATGATGGGGCAATTAGAAGACCCAGAGTGCATAAAAGCACGAGAGAATATTGAAATAGGCAATGGAAACGGGTATGTGTTGGAAGATGACATACTCAAGATGAATGGACGAATGTGGGTACCCGAAGTGAGAGAATTAAAAAGAGACATCTTGGAGGAAGCACACTCCTCTCTTTATGGCATGCACCCGGGGATGACAAAAATGTATAATACCATCAAACCACACTTTTGGTGGCAAGGAATGAAACGAGAAGTTGCGGAGTATGTTCAATCATGTCTTATATGCCAAAATACAAAGGCTGAACATCGTGTCCTGGCTGGACCCTGCGGTGAATAGGCGGTGTTTTACTACGTGCTATGTGTTTAATATTGAAACATAGCTGAGGATTTAACAAAGATAAAATGAAGAATGTCGTTATTATGATTTTGGTACTCGAGTTGAATTGGATGATTCATAATCGAGTATTTGGAATTTACGACTTTGTAATTGATCCCTAAGAATTGTGAAATTCTGTGAGACTACGTTGTTACTATTTTAATAATTCATGACGTGATATCATGCCATGAGTTATATGAAATTCAGCCTACGATATAATAATTCTCCTAATAAGACTATATGGGATAATCATTAAACAACGAACGAATTCGTAATAATTTGAATAATGGACAGCTACCATGGGAGAATTCTGTCTAGGCTAGTGGTTTTTAATCGAGACCTTCGTCGTACTCGTCCACTAACCTGGGAATTCACTCGGTAAACTCTTTTGGGAATACGGTTGTAAGAAGTGTACTACGTGTAGTGGCACTCATTCCTCTTCTCGAAGTTTTTACCACGCGGGTCCGCCATTCGAATTACTCGGTGATTATCACCGATTAAATGGTTAACGAACCATGTACAAGGATTTGAAATGTCCATCTTATACGTTGAATGTACGATAATGATAATGTTTGCGAATGAATTTCTACTTGATAATTTGATGGATGATATGATAATTTTGTCGTATGCAGGAGATTTACAAATTAGCGTTTTCATAGACTTGGTAATTACACCAAGATTGATTAAGATGGATGATTAATATATTTAGATTATGATGATTTTATATGATGTTCATATTAATCACATAGACTTAGAAATGGCCTGCATTTACCCCCAACCATTTGATATCATTACTGACGATCATTAGGATCGATGAGGCCAGTGGCCAGAGAGATATGATTGTGGTTTCTGATATAACCACTGAGATGATGAGGTTCGAGTAGGGGTGGATGTATGGTGACCTTGGCGCCCAAATTAATAAAATGGAAATGCATTGCACTTGCATATTGTTTGGATATTGGATGCTAGGTTGAGACTTCAACCTAGATGCCATGATTAGGTGGTTAATCGATTGATGTGGAAAACGTATCCATAGAATTCACCGTGTAGGAGGGAACAACGCCCCACCTCTGCTAAATTATTTAGCTGACCCCCTTCCCTTTTGTGTTCAGATCCGCATTAGAGGAACTGAACTTGGACGTCAGAGCTGTGCAACTTCTACTCCATCATGAGGTAGCAGACGATTGGTCGGAGGAGAGTTTTTACCTATGTTTTGTATTTTAAAACACGTATCATAAACATGTATTATGTTGGGTTTGATTGCATTGAACTTGTTCGATTGAGTTATTTTGATTTATGGATTGTACCAAAGTATGTAAGATGAACATTTGAGTTTCAACGAGCAAGTGTTTGGATTTGATGTCATGAATTGGATGTTGTATGTTTAATAAACGAGATTGAATATTAATAAATGTGTTAGATTTGAAATATATATATGTTCACCTCGAGTTATGTTTAGTAAACAAAAGATGCATATGTATTGAATGATGAGTTAATACGTAAACCTCGTTAGTTTTCTGCTATGCGGGCGAACTAGTGGTTCGACCCATGAATTTTAGGGTGGGGTGTTACAAGAACAGTTGACCTTGTAAGTTGATAATTGATCTAGGAAATCCTCTACCAACAATCAGGGTTGCATGTTATTATAAAGGTAATGGAGAACTGCATTGGTTTGAGTTAGGTTTGCTTGGGGACAACCAAACGGTTAAGTGTGGGGGAATTTGGTAATGCCATATTCGAACATGTTTTTCCCGTAATTTCTCGACCGTTTGAGCTTGGTTTATCGCTCTATTGGCCTAGTTAAGCTAGGTTTTGTTCATTTATGAAGTTTCGGGACTTAATACGTGAATGGGCGCGAATGAGCGAAGTTTCGAGACATTTTGGAGCGAGTGGGAAGTGTGATCCTGGGAGTTACGGCCAGACCTTGCAAGTTACGGTCTGGCTCGTAAGTTCCCTAGAGGAGCCGTAACTGGCGAATGGAGAGCGAAGATTCTAGGAGGCTTCTTAGAGTTAGGGGCTGACCTTCTAAGTTATGGTCAAGGCCGTAACTCAGCCTTTGCAACCGTAACTCCTAGGAAGCGTTGACATCAGTTCCTTAATCATTTTTGGAGTTACGGTCTTCCTCTTCATTTTACGTTCGAGACCTTAATTCCTCAAAGGAAGCCGTAACTATTGTGACTTCTCTCTATCGGCTTGTCTATGGAAAGGCATGCCATCTGCCCGTTAAGCTAGAGGACAAGGCCTTCTGGGCCCTTAAGCAGCTAAACCTTGATGTGAGTCTCGTAGGTGCCGAACTTAAATTGCAGCTCGTGGAGTTAGAAGAGTGGTGTTACCACGCATATGAGAACACCAGACTATACAAGGAGCGAACCAAGCGTCTCTACGACCCTCGACTCAAAAGGCCGAAGCAGTTTCAGATGGGCGATTGTGTTTTGCTATACAACTCCCGCCTGTGACTCTTTTAGGGAAAGCTGCATTCCCGGTGTTCTAGAACGTTCACGGTCATTCATGTGTTTCCAAACGGCACCATCGAAATCGTCAATCCGCAGACTAAGCCCTTTAAGGTGAACGGGCATCGCCTCAAGCTGTACCTGCGAGGCGATGTCGAATGCGCGGAGTTGGAGATTGATCTCGCGGACCCTTAGTTCCTCCATGGGCGTCCAGCTAAAATACGATAAAGAAGCGCTTGTGGGGAGGCAACCCCACCTCGGTTTGCATTTCTATCCTTTTCTCTCTTTGTTTTTGTGTGCCGTATGTCGAACATGGAGTTTTGTAGTCACTTATTATGCCATGTGGTGTCGTTCTTGTGAAATTTTGGTCTAGGGGGGCCAGTGGGGTGCTTTTAGGTGCTTTGGGACGTTTCTGGTGCGTTTGGGCGAAGACGGGCAGAAGCCTCTCAAAAGTTACGGTCTGAAGCCTCTCAGAAATTACGGTCTGAGGCCTCAAGTTACAGTAAAGGCCGTAACGTTGAAGGCTAGACCATAACTTCTAGAGGCCATCTGGAGACGAAGTGGGGTGTTCCCCCAAAGTTACGGGCCAAAGGGACGAGTTACGACCTCGACTGTAACTCCCTCCCCAGCCCGTAACTCTCCAGTCTTAGGTGATCAGGGAGTTACGGCCTGAGTTACGGCCGTAACTTGCTCGATGAAGCCGTAACTCAAATTCGTATATAAAAAGGCGACTTACGCCTGTCACTCTGCGCCACAAATCCCACTACCTTCGTCGGATAGCTCTGTGCCACCGAGCCATAAAACGCATTTTCCGACTGCTCCCGGCCTCCGATCGAGGCGCCGTTTATGGCATTGGATTCCTCTCGGCGAGGCACACCGACCAGTGCCCCCTTTATCCCATCGCCCTACTTTTCACCTTGCCGGAAATTGCCTCCAGCGACCCTCCGAAAGCTGTTTTGGGTCAACAACTAGTCAGACAACCTCCCGCTTTTCCCCTCGCTCTACCTTCCTTCTTGTGTCTCCAAGTTGGTCTTTTTGCCTCAAATTGTGTTTTTGGAGAATTGAATTGTAGAGTGTAGGGTCGACGGAACCAATTCTGCATGTTTAGATGTGTATGCGGGAGAATGTATGCATGTGTGGTGTGCTTGGAAATGTTAGAACCTTAATACTTGCCAGTTTTGTAGTAGTTCTACTGCAGCCTAGTGGGTTGTGCTTAAGTGTAGGGGGAATTCCTGGACCAGTGGATCCGATTCCCCCAATTATTCTGGTTACTAACGGGCCTCGAGGTTGTGATTGTCTATTTTGCAGGAAAATGGTCAATCTAGATCATGACTTTCTGCAAGGCCTCCGGTATATCGAGGCCTACGATGTTGCGTTTGCCAAGATGCAGGCGACCGAGATTGGTTCCCACTACACCATCAATCTCTCCTACTTCGACTAGTTCATCTACCGCGACGCCATCGCGGCGGCCATCCCTCATCCTCATTGGCGCAGCCTATTGGAGTTCCAGGACGACATGTACGCGAACTCATCCTAACTTCTACAACACCTTCACCCATACCAGGAAGAAGCTAACTTACCGTGCGGGCATGATCAGCTTCCTCCTTGACGGTCACCACCACAGCTTGAGCTACGCCGAGTTCACCACCGCCCTAGGCCTGGACCCCACTCCCCTGCGCGAGGTCGAGGCTACTTTCCCCCAGGCCGACTATTAGTCCTTCTACAAGCGAATCCGCCTGCACCAGCATGTTGTTGTTCCTTACACGCAAAGCCGGACCATTGCCAGCCAGCTGCAGGCCCCGTGGCACTTGCTGCAGGCACTGCTAGCTCACTCCGTCATTCCCAGTCAGAAAGCGTTCGGTCAGGTGACAAAGAAACATATGTACGCCCTCATCTCCATGGCTAGTGCGGGGGACGGTCTCCACCTGGGATCCATTCTTGCATTCTCTTTCTCGCGGGTGAGGAACCACTCGAAGGTCACCACAGGCACGGAGGGGCCTTAATCATTCAGCTTGCGCGGTTCTTTGGAGTGTCGTTGAATGGCTGCACCCTATTCGGTCGTGTCAGAGACTTCCTCGTCGAGACCTTCAGTGCCATGGGGATGATCCAGGTCTCGAGGGCAGATCCGCAGATCCAATGGATCAGGGGGCTGTAGAGTTAGATGAGGTTGCCGCAGCCGAGCCTCCACCACCTCCACCAGTCTAGTCTTACCCTGGCGACTCGAGTGTCGGGCCTTCCTCAGCCGCACCAGCTGGTAGCCAGTGGGCCGCCATGGAGGCTCGTTTTGATCAGATCGAGGTGCTCCTCGATCATGAGTCTGATGGAAGGCACTACTCCCAAGCGCCTATGCTCGGAGGCTGATGTGGACATTACTCAGGATTTCTGGGACCCTTCTCCACCTCGGGATGATGATGAGGAGGTCTGATACTTGATGGCGAGCTCCATGTGTTTTGTGTTTTGTTATTTTGTATTTGGTTCATTTGAGTCGAACTGGATATTGTTGGTGTTTATTTTCTTTCCTTTTTGTTTGAAGCCATGGGGCTGACAACTGTTATCCTAACTCTTACCAAGTGTGAGTGGTTGTGTTTTGTCTAGCCTTGCTTCTTAGAAACTGGTCCATCGTCTAGTCCGCTCCCGATGACTGGTCCCATTTCCAGTCTCCCTGTAGTCCGTTTTGCCGGTAACATCGTTCCCCTTATCCTTCCCTCTTCTCCATTGAGGGCAATGTCATGCTTAAGTGTTTTTGTGTGTGTGTGTTTGTGGGGGGGGGGGTGTTTATCTTTGACTGCATAGATGAGTTTGTGTGCTTGGAGCCTAGTCCACTGTCCAATTTGATGAATTGAGGGCTCTAAGTACTATCTCTTGCAATAACCTGCTCAATATGCTTTCAATTGACAGCCTTACTGTGATATGCAACCTAGGGAGGTAGTTGTAGCACTATGGAGGATGTTGAAGTATAAGATTTTTCCTATCTATCTCCTAACTATGCCGGTCGATTTTGTGAACTAGTGGATTTAGGACCGTTGATTCATGTGGTATTGATGACTCTCCTTATGTTGTGTTGTGGAATCGCGTATTGAAAAAGGGTGCTCAATTGTGTGAAATGAAAAAAACAGTTGGTCCTCAATGCTAGAAATTCTAAATATAAAACATAGGGTAAGCCCAACGTGTAAGGAGCCATAACTGGCGAGTGGAGAGTGAAGAGTTCCAGGAGGCTTCTTAGAGTTACGAGCTGACCTTCCAAGTTACGGTCAAGGCCGTAACTCAGCCTTTGCACCCTTAACTCCTGGGAAGCATCGAAATCAATTCCAGAAGCGTTTTTGGAGTTATGGTCTCCCTCTTCAAGTACGGACGAGACTGTAACTCCTCAAAGGAAGCCGTAACTCTTGATTTATGGAGTGAAACAACGACGTCATTCCTCTACAAGTTACGGGCAGTCAAGGCAAGTTACGGCCGTAACTTTGGTCGTAAATCACGGATTCTCTGGCCATTTAAATGTTGCTTGGGAAATTTGCAAAGGATCCTATTTATCTGAGTTCTAAAGGCTGAAAACGAACCCTAGAGAGAGAGAGTGTGTGACAAAGAGAAACCCTTGGGCAAGGATTGGAGCGATCTGAAGACCTCAGAGCTCGATTCCCCAACCTCGGAGTACTGATTAGTCGCCAGGAGCAGTTGTTCATTGTCGTTCTAATGATGTCTACTCCGAGCATGACGTTCTCTCATCTCTACTTGGAGTAATTTTCCATTTCATTCGGGTATGAAGAACCCTAGTTTTGTATGTTAGGAATGATTGTATGAACCCCATGTTATGAATGATTGATTTGATAAATTGACTCACTTTTACTGTCACCCTAGGAATTGGCCAAGTGAAAACACTTCCTAAAGCATAGTATAGCGGGTTTAGGTTTAATTATCAACCCGGGTCCTAGATATGATGACTACTCAGTGAATTCTTGTTATCTAGCAATGAAACTTTAATGCAGGTTTAAACTAACAAACTAACAAAGCAAGTAAACTGTTGTATTCAGGTTAAGAGAGGTCACCCGGATATGGTTCCCCCTAGACTGCAGTTAAGCCGGATTGTAATTACCAAGTTCAGTTTCTATGAAAGTTATACTGCGGAAGGTTCTTAAACAGCCTGAAGTCTCGACTAAAGGTCTTCAGACCCTCTCAATCTGAATCTCTAGCGGGCGAGTAACCTCCACCGGAGTAGACAGATTGAGGCCCTAAGAACAAAACCTCCACTACCGGAGTAAATCCGGTACATAATAGTGAGTTGGTTCCTCGACTAAAGTCACCAACTCCCTACCTTCAATCAAGGATGCTCTATTAACCTAGGCAGATATTCTCATTCTAGGTTAAAGCAGAAACAACAGGAATTTGATCAGGATTCAAGTCATTCAATCATTCAAACCTCAATCGAATATAATCAAATCATAGAATTAGTACTTGGGCTCATACAATCAAAGCCTAACATACAAATCTAGGGTTCTCCATACCCAGATGAATGGGAGAACTACTCCATGGAGAAGAAAGCAAAAGCAGAATCAGACGCGGAATTCATACTGTGAAGGATGGATTCCTCCTCCTAGACGTTGATTGGCACTCCTCCAAGCTCAAGCTGGCCTCCAATGGTGTTGAAGATCAATCTAGGGCACTTGGAGACTCTCGTTCGTCGCTTTCTCTCTCTAGGAATTTTTCTATCTCTCTAAAACTCGAATCCCCTTCTCTTTGGCTGAAAATCTGCTTAAAAAAGCATCAGAGGCCAAAGCACGGTCGAGGACACGGCCGTGCTTTGCCTGAGCCCGCCCGTGCCTCGGCCAGGGTTAATTACACGGCCAGCAGTGGGGAGAAACACGGCCGTGCTTCGCGGTGGACACGGCCGTGCTTTGGTGGAACACGGCCGTGCTTTGGTGCCCGTGTTTGCAGCTGAATTTTCCAAACCGAATTTGCTCTCGGCATAAAAAGCACGGCCACAGGAACACGGCCGTGTAATGCCTTAGGTGTGCCCGTGTTTTGGCCCCAGCTTGACGAAATGACCTCCGAATGCCCCGAAACTCGCGCTTAGCCTTCCTTTTGACACCTGGGACCTGAAACATGACAAAGTAGCACAACCCGGCGTAAAATAGGCCAAAACACACGACTATGCCCCTCAAACGGATAAGAACTAGGGGCGCAAATATGTGCTATTACATCGTTATCAAACTCCCCCACACTTAACCGTTTGCTTGTCCCCAAGCAAACCTAACTCAAACCAATGCAACTCTCCAGACCTCTATAGCAACAAACAACCTAGATCGTAGGTAGAGGACTTCCTAGGTCATTTAGCAGCTTACGAGGTCAACCGACGCACAAGTCATCTCAAAGCTTCTTATCGAGTCGGCATCATGGCAAATAGTGAACAGAGGACAAATGAATTGTGGATGAAGAGATTCTCAAAAACAAAGGATCATGGACTCACATTTTTCAAGGTACTCTATTTTCTTCTTGAAGATGGTTGGAACCCCTTTTGTTTCTATTTTGCTTGTTTTCTGTTATTTTTTTTTCTCTTTTTTTTCAAGGGTCCCAACCGGCTCTTACCGGCCATGCCAGGAGCGGATGTCTCGAGCCTCGTGCGGGGGAAAGACATGTAAGGGGGCTGGAGGTAGTAGGTGGAAATTGGGAACGGATTCCCGTCTCCCCTTACACACTTTCGCCCTATTCGCACGGGAGACGTTTATTTTGAAGCACATTTTCGAGCACCTGTTAAACTCAAAACATAAAACAAGAGTCCATGACAGGCAGAGAATCCACAACACCACACAATTCAAGGGTCCTACGATCACTAATTCACTCAATCAACCAACACAATATGAAGAAGAAATGAGACTTCTTAAATGCATCAACATCCTCCATAGTGCTACACTACCTCCCTAGGTTGCATATTACTATAAAGACTGTCAATTCAAAGCATACTGAGCAGGCAATTGCAAGGAAACACGTACTTGGAGCCCTCAAATTTAAAAATTTGGACAGTGGACTAGGCTCCAAGCACACAAACAGATCTAATGCAGTCAAAAGATAAACATCCCCCCACACTTAAGATCGACATTGCCCTCAATGGAGAAGAGGGAAGGAAAAGGGGAACGATGTTACCGGTATGCACAGACTGCAGGAGACTGGAAGCGGGCCAGTCGGAGTGAAGCGGACTGGAGAGAGGACCAGTCAAGACAAGCACAGCCAAAGGAAACCAAAGAGCTCAAACACTGTATGTTAGGTCCAATGGTCAGCCCAATAAAACATCATCCAAACCAAAAGAAAAACAAACCAAACCCAAACCAGGTTACAATCCGACTCAAAACACAAAAAAGAAAATCAAACCGAGGTGGGGTTGCCTCCCCACAAGCGCTTCTTTACCGTCTTTTAGCTGGACGCCCATGGTGGATACTCAGGGCGGTGCAGGAACAGGTGCCTTCAAGAGCGGATCCACGTCGCTCTTGAGGTACAGCTGGAGGTTGTGGCCATGCACCCGACGGATGCGACCACCATCATCGGTCAGCTCGACCTGGCCACCCGGCAAGATGCAGGCGAGTGAGTACCCGGACGGCCAGGGTGGTCGTGGTGCAGGAGGTGGGACCAGCTCATAGTGGTCTCCACTCTTCTTCCGTGCAGTTTTAGCAACCTGCTGCTTCGGCCGCCACTCCTCCTTGATCTTTTTGTTCGGAGGTGAGGCTGGATGGAGTGGCGGTGAAGGAATGATAGGAGGGTCCTGCAAAATAAGAGGTGCAGAAGGGTACACGACAGGCTCGTGTACCTGATCATAAATGGCATGCACAGGGGTGACAGCAATCATAGCACAGTGATCAAACTCAGTCATAGAAAAAGTAGCCTGTTCATTCCCAGCACGCAAGATCAGTTTACCATCATGCACATCAATAAGTGCCTTGGCGGTGCCAACAAATGGTCTACCCAGAATCAAAGGCACATCCACATCCTCATTTACATCCAGAATAACAAAATCAACAGGATATGTGAATGCACCAACATTAACAAGCAGATCCTCTATGACACCCCTAGGATGCACAATGGAACGGTCAGCGAGCTGAATGCTCATCCTAGTAGGGCTAAGTTTACCTAAGTCTAGCTTCTTAAACAACTTATATGGCATGACGTTTATGCTAGCACCTAGGTCCGCCAAGGACTTGCCTACATGCATGCTGCCAATAGTAAGAGGGATAGTAAAACTCCCTGGGTCTTTTCGCTTCTCGGGCAGCTTGTTCTGCAGGATAGCAGAACACTCCTCGCTCAGTAGCACTGTCGAGAGATCCCCAAGTTTCTTCTTGTCGGTGAGGAGGTCTTTCATGAACTTGGCATACTTGGGCATCTTCGACAGTGCCTCCACGAACAGTATGCTGATGTTGAGCTGCTTCAACATTGCCATGAACTTGGCAAACTCAGTCTCCAGCTTGTCTTTTTGTAGGCGAGTGGGGAAGGGAAGCTGGGGCACATGCTCCTTAACTACTGGTTGTGGCTTGGGAGCAGGGGCTTCCTTCTCCACCCGCACTTCTGCATCGTCGGCTGGAAGTGCTGAAGCAGGTAGTGGTTCCTCCTGTCTGGCCGGGACAGGATCAGCAGATATGGTTTTACCGCTCCTGGTAAAAATGGCATCCAGCTGCTGGTGCTGGTGAGGCTCTCGAGGATTCGGGACAGTGGTGGCAGGCAGAGTCCCCGGTGCCCTGGTGGTGTTTTGGCGGGCCAAGATGCCCACCTGGGTCTGCAGATCCTGCAAAATAGCACCCTGGTTTCGCTGACCTGCCTCCAGTGACGTGATAGCAGCCTGAGTGGTAGTCATGAATGAAGCTAGAATGTTTTCCAGCTTCGTCATCCTGTCATCTGGGGCCGGAGCTGCTGCTGGCTCGACAAACTGGCGTTGGGGCTGCTGGAATGGCTGCCCCTGCCTAGGCTGGTAGGGCTGCTGCTGTGGGTCTGGCCCCTGGCGAGCCTGGAAGGGCTGCCTCTGCTGAAAGCCACCAGCTGGTGCTGGGAAACCAGGTGGCTTAGTGGTGTTGCTGCTCCAGGCGAAGTTGGGATGCTGGCGCCACCCCTCATTATATGTGTTACTGTATGGATCGAGGCGCCGCGCATTGGCGATGAAGGCCAACTGCTCCTAGGGTGTGGTAGACTCCCTCATAGCCTGGCAGTCCTCCACTAGGTGATTGGAGCTCTCGCACCACTGACATTGAGCTACTGGAGGTGTAGCCAAACCTCTGCCCGGAATGAGACTGTTGGGCTGCTTTAATGTCTGCACTAGCTCAGCTACCTGCTGCTCGAGTCCGGATCTAGACTCCATGGCGTGCACACCACGGTCCCGGGACTGTCTGCCTCGGCTACCCTGTCCCCAAGAATGATCTCTGGCAGCCAAAGTACTGATCATCTGGTTCAGCTCGGGTGGAGTCTTAGTGAGAATATCCCCTCCTGGGCATAGAGACTCAATCACCCTCTGGCTATCTGGAGAGAGGGCACTGTAGAAGTTCCCCACTGTGAATGCATCACTAAAGCCATGATGGGGACACTGCCAGAAGTATCCCATGTACCGCTCCCAAGCATCACGAAGTGACTCATCTGGCTCTTGGCGGAAGTGAGTGATCTCCCGCTGAATCTCTGTAGTCTTCGATGCCGGATAGTACCTGTGCACGAACTTGTCCGCCAGATCGTCCCAAGAGGTGATGGACAATGGAGGCTGGGTCTCCAACCACCTCTTAGCATTCCCCGCCAGAGAATGGGGGAAGAGATGAAGGCGGACTGCATCATCCGGGACACCATTCAGCTTGAACCCGTTCGTCAGCTGCAGAAAACGGGAAAGATGTACCCTGGCCTCCTCATCCTTCAAGCCATGAAACTGGATAGAAGATGTGATGAGCTGAATCCAGCATGGCTTGATCTTGAAGTTGTTCGCTGGAATAGGCGGGTAGAGGATGACTGGGCGGATGTCAGCAATCCGCGGAGTGTAGTAGTACTCCAAGGTGGGACCCGGCTGCGGTGGATAATGAACTCCATGATCCTGGGGTATGGGGTTGTTCCCCAGGACCTGATTCACCGGGGGAGCCTGCTGAGGATTCCCCTGGTGTTGATTGTAGTCTTCCATCTCGTACTCCTCCTCAGAATCACTGCTCATGTGGCCGTCTATGCGCTCTTCCGTAGCCAGTCTAGCTCGCTGTTGTCTCCTGAGCTGGCGACAGGTGCGGTCAATCTCTGGATTCAACGGCAGTAAACCTCCTGACTGGCTACGGGTCATGCACTACCTGCACACACTCAAGCAAGCAAACCCGTGAAGGCACAAGTGGGACAAAGCAAACAAAGCAAAAAGAAAAGCTAAATTAACAGAAATCACTTTTCTTCAACAACCTAGCCGTCCCCGGCAACGGCGCCAAAAACTTGACTCACTTCTACTGTCACCCTAGGAATTGGCCAAGTGAACCCACTTCCTAAAGCGTAGTATAGCGGGTTTAGGTTTAATTATCAACCCGGGTCCTAGATGTGATGACTACTCAGTGAATTCTTGTTATCTAGCAATGAAACTTTAATGCAGGTTTAAACTAACAAACTAACAAAGCAAGTAAACTGTTGTATTCAGGTTAAGAGAGGTCACCCGGATATGGTTCCCCCTAGACTGCAGTTAAGCCGGATTGTAATTACCAAGTTCAGTTTCTATGAAAGTTATACTGCGGAAGGTTCTTAAACAGCCTGAAGTCTCGACTAAAGGTCTTCAGACCCTCTCAATCTGAATCTCTAGCGGGCGAGTAACCTCCACCGGAGTAGACTGATTGAGGCCCTAAGAACAAAACCTCCACTACCGGAGTAAATCCGGTACAGAATAGTGAGTTGGTTCCTCGACTAAAGTCACCAACTCCCTACCTTCAATCAAGGATGCTCTATTAACCTAGGCAGATATTCTCATTCTAGGTTAAAGCAGAAACAACAGGAATTTGATCAGGATTCAAGTCATTCAATCATTCAAACCTCAATCGAATATAATCAAATCATAGAATCAGTACTTGGGCTCATACAATCAAAGCCTAACATACAAATCTAGGGTTCTCCATACCCAGATGAATGGGAGAACTACTCCATGGAGAAAAAAGCAAAAGCAGAATCAGACGCGGAATTCATACTGTGAAGGATGGATTCCTGCTCCTGGACGTTGATTGGCACTCCTCCAAGCTCAAGCTGGCCTCCAATGGTGTTGAAGATCAATCTAGGGCACTTGGAGACTCTTGTTCGTCGCTTTCTCTCTCTAGGAATCGTTCTATCTCTCTAAAACTCGAATCCCCTTCTCTTTGGCTGAAAATCTGCTTAAAAAGGCATCAGAGGCCAAAGCACGGTCGAGGACACGGCCGTGCTTTGCCTAAGCCCGCCCGTGCCTCGGCCAGGGTTAATTACACGGCCAGCAGTGGGGAGAAACACGGCCGTGCTTCGCGGTGGACACGGCCGTGCTTTGGTGGAACACGGCCGTGCTTTGGTGCCCGTGTTTGCAGCTGAATTTTCCAAACCGAATTTGCTCTCGGCATAAAAAGCACGGCCACAGGAACACGGCCGTGTAATGCCTTAGGTGTGCCCGTGTTTTGGCCCCTGCTTGACGAAATGACCTCCGAATGCCCCGAAATTCGCGCTTAGCCTTCCATTTGACACCTGGGACCTGAAACATGACAAAGTAGCACAACCCGGCGTAAAATAGGCCAAAACACACGACTATGCCCCTCAAACGGATAAGAACTAGGGGCGCAAATATGTGCAATTACATCGTTATCATAAATTCAGTTGAAGAATTATTCAGAATTGCATGAGTCATGATCAAACCTGTGTAATTCCGGCTTTAACCTAGAACGATAGTTTCTGCATAGGTTAAAATAGCAATCTTTAATTGAAAGTGGTGAATCGACTACTTTAGTCGAGAAATCGATTCACTGCTCCGTACTAGAATAAAGGCTAGTAGTGGAAGTTTCGCGTGTTTAACCTTGATTAGTGTATGCCGACGGAGGTTAGTTTCCCGTCGGGTATTCCAATCAAGAGGGTATGAATAACTTTAGTCGAGATTCCAGACCGGTAAAGAACTTTCCGCGGTTTATCTATCAATCCGAGTAATTTGAGATCGTATAACTTGAACTAGCTGCACACTAGGGGGAACCATATCCGGATGACCTTTTGAACCTGAAAAGAACTTGACCATTACTTGCTTTTTGTTTCTTTTGCACCGAAATCACTACACTCTCTTAGTCCTGCTAAATAATAGGAGTTGACTGAGTAGGCAGTAGATCTAGAGCTTGAGTCGATAATTAGACTTAACTACTATTCTGCATTTCCATTCTACGATTACACTTGGTCGCAGTTTGGTGTTGTGTCGTAGCGTGTCAATCAGTCTTGTATTCATCCAAGTAACAAGGAGGACGTCGATCACGGTTCCCCCATCCAGGATCTTGAGGAGGAGTCAACTGCAGTGGAGAAGAAGACGGTGGTTGTTGGTCGGTAGGTAAATGTGAAGACGAGCTGGATTCAGGAGGATCTACAATGGGAGTGGATGATTCAGGTGGGGCAGGTTCTGGAGGTATTACATGCGACTAGATAGCCTCAATAGCGTGTGGAAGCTAGGCTTTCTTCGTGAAAGGTTTGGCGAAGTACAAGCATCCCCAATATGTAACGAACTACCACAATCAGATGGATGCAAATAACAAACTGACATATAATCATTACCAACTGGATCATTAGTGAAAGATACGAAAGATTTATTATCACCATCCAAAAATAATATAGTTCACATATACAATACATATATTCTGAAAACATATCTATAAGAAAAACATGTCAAGTTGGTGTCAATATAATCAAAATCATGCTTTAGTTTAAAAGATTATGCTTCTAGGTCACCAAAACACTTATGTGTAGATTTGCACTTTATTTTACTAATGTATTCAAAATCGCGCTTTAAAGTTTAAAAGCTTACATTTTTACGCTTCTACCACACCAAAACACTTCTACGTAGAATTATGTAATTTATCGACATAAAATAACACCAACCACGGGATCATCAGAATCAAGCAAGCAAGTGGTTGGAAAATGAACCTTCTGTAGTGAGTTACAAAATTTTGGCCACATCGCCGCTTGACAGAAATTTGGGCATTCAGGTAAACCACCCCCACATGGCCCTTATTCTAACCTAGCCACCGCTTCATCATTCCTCGATTGCGTCGCCATTTCTTTCTCCACCGTCAACAACCGGAAGATCTCTTCACTTTCATCCACTCTGCCCCAGCTCACCCTCAGGAGGCCGCTTTCGGAGCATGAAACACAGAGGTAATTTTACACGCGGTGTAGCTTCCTCAGAAGCAGAGGTGCTGCCGTCGCAGGTGTTAATAAGCGGCACTCGCCATTGTCCTCGTCGACGTAGAAAATCAGTAGCTCCTCATTTTCGAGCAAACAAAAGAAATTCATGTCTCTGTATCTGGTGCCAAGGCAATCCAATTCTCCGTTGCCCCATCGAGTTTATAACACCTCCACAGGCGCTGACAGTGTTATGAGAGAGAAACGATCGTAATTTTATTTCACCAAAAGTAAAAATTACACTGTTCAACTTTACATTATATATTAGTTCTATTCTACTTAATTACAATACAGTACATAAAAGAAACAAATGTTACAGTTTGGTCCTATAACTATTCTGTACACTAACACCCTCCCTCAAGCTGGAGCATGTATGTCAAGAGTGCCCAGCTTGGACACAAGATCTGAAAACACAGCAGTGGGCAAAGATTTGGTAAACAGGTCAGCAATCTGGTCAGAAGTCAAAACATGTAAGAGTTTAATCAATCCAGAAGCAAGTTTATCCCTTGTCAAATGGCAATCTAACTCAATGTGCTTAGTGCGCTCATGAGCAACGGGGTTCTCAGCTATTCTAATAGCAGATTGACTATCAGAAAACATGGCAGTAGGCTTATTGAATAAAATCCCTAAATCTGCAAATAAGTAATTGAACCACTGAATTTCACAAGTAAGATCAGCCATGGCTCGATACTCAGCCTCGGTTGATGATTGAGAGATGGTCTGTTGCTTCTTGGAATGCCAAGAGATCAGGGAACCACCTAGAAAAACACAAAAACCTGTTGTAGACCTTCTGGAATCAGGACAACCTGCCCAGTCACTATCAGAAAAGGCTTTAAGTGTTAGATCAGTATTTGATGGAAAAAATAAACCACGACCAGAAGAACCTTTCAGATAATGTAAGACTCTATGGGCTGCTGCCATATGAACATCAGTCGGGGCATTCATAAACTGAGTCAATTGATGGACAGCAAAAGCAATGTCAGGGCGTGTATTGCATAGGCACAATAAACGACCAACTAATCTTCTGTAAACAGAAGAATCTTCTAAAGGAACACCAGATTTAATTGAAAGCCTAACACCTGGATTACAAGGGGTAGCCACAGGTTTGGCACCAAGCAAACCAGAATCATTTAATAGATCTAGCACATACTTGCGTTGACAGATTGATATCCCAGTTTCATTTCTAGCTATTTCAAGACCGAGAAAATATTTAAGGTTACCAAGATCCTTGATTTTAAAAGCATCATCTAACTTCTGTTTGAGAGACTCTATTTCACTTAGAAAATCACCAGCTAGAATGATATCGTCAACATAAACCAAAACAGCAAGAAACAGACCATCTTGTCGTTTGGTAAACAAAGAGTAATCAGCCTTTGATTGAGTGTAACCAGACTGTAAAAGAAATTCTGTGAGTTTATGATTCCATTGTCTACTGGCTTGTTTAAGGCCATAGAGTGATTTGTTTAATTTGCAAACCAAATTAGAAGTGTCACCAGGTATTTTGAGTCCTAATGGCAGTTTCATATAAACATCCTCAACTAAATCTCCATGAAGGAAGGCGTTATTTGCATCTAGTTGATGTAAATGCCAACCCTTTATGGAGGCTAAGGCAAGCAGAGATCGGACAGTAGATAACTTGGCTACAGGAGAGAATGTATCCAAGTAATCTATGCCTGGGGTTTGAGTGTATCCTTTGGCAACAAGTCGAGCTTTTTCACGCTCAACTGTTCCATCAGAATGAAACTTTACCTTGTAAACCCATTTGTTGCCAATGGGTTTTACATCTGGTGGCTTTGGCACGACTATGAATGTATTAGTTCGAAGAAGAGCATCTATCTCCAAATCCATGGCTGCATTCCATTTGTCATGTTTGGAATGATGATTAGCAAGTCTATTAGTAGATAAAACGTTAGATAAAGGATGATAAACAGTAGAGTTAAACACAGAATTGCAGACATAATCTCAAAATTTAAGAGGAGGTTTCCTCTTTCGAGGAGGTAAATAGTCTGGTTCATCATCAAATGATGGAGGATACTCAGGAGGAGCTACTCCATCATCATCATGTGGTGGATCAGAAGAGATAGAGTGACTAGAAGAAGAATGTAGGTCGGGTGCTGAAACAGTAGGTACATCTAGAAGAGCACTAACATCAGAAGATGCAATGCCATCCATTGATGATACGAGATTCACATATAGACTTGGTGACTAAGTTGTACAACTTACAACCTTTAGTAGCAAATGGGAAACCTAAGAACACACAAGGTTGAGCTCTAGGTTCGAACTTTGGTCTATTGTGAGCCAAAGTGGACATGTATACCAGACAACCAAACACACGAAAAGTAGAGTAATCAGGAACAGAATGATGTAGCAACTCATATGGGGACTTATTATCTAAGACTGGACTTGGAAGCCTATTAATGATGAATGTAGCATGTAAGACAACATGACTCCAGAATGCAGAAGGAAGGAAATATTGAAACAATAGGGCACGAGCAACAGCAATGATGTGCTGCTGTTTGCGCTCCACCCGACCATTTTGCTGTGAAGAGGCAACACAAGTAGTCTGATGCACTATGCCTAAGGAACTATAGAATGTAGGCATTGAAAATTCAAATCCATTATCAGATCTAATAGTTTTAGGCTTGAGATTGTATTGTGTCTGAATGTGACTAATAAAAAAACTAGCAAGTCACGAGCTTCAGACTTCTTACGCATCAAGTAAACCCATGTATTGCTGGAAAAGTCATCGACAATAGTTAAAAAATATCGATAACCATCTACAGAAGTAACCCCATATGGACCCCATAGGTCAACATGAATCAAGTCAAACAAAGCAAGAGCATGAGAACTACTTACCATAAAGGGTAAACGTTTCTGTTTAGCCATTGGGCAAACAGTACAATGTTTGGTCTTATATGAAGTAACACTATGATCTTTAGACATAACAGTGTGCAAAGGGTTACATGAAGCATGTCCAAGTCTATAGTGGCAAATGTCAATGTCATGAATGGTAGTATAAAAAATAACAGAAAAACAACTGGATTCTGGTGTGGAAGCAGTGATTGGGCAGGAAGAGAGCTTGTGAAAGTAGGTGTGAAGCAATAAAGCCCACCAGACTCTCTAGCTGTACCAATCAGCTTGCAGGAGACCAGATCCTGGATAATGCAATGATTATGGAAGAAGGTCAATGAACATGTTGAGTCTTTTGTTAATCTACTGACAAAGATTAGATTGAATCCAAACATAGGAATATAAAGCACATTCCTAAGTTCTAAGGAATCAAATAATACAACAGTACCAATGTGAGTAACATGCACTTTTGCACCATTTGGAAGGGAAACTCTAACACCATTAACAGCAGAATATTGACTAAAGTAATCTAAGCTGGAAATGACATGATCAGACGCCCCACTATCTATGACCCAAGAAACCACATTCATTGGCATGTGACTACTAGCTAGGACATACTTACCTCCAGAGGAGGAAGGTGCAGCAGGATCAACAGTAGCACCTCCAGTTGTAAAAGCATTGGCCACTGGGACATGAGGGACAGAGGCAGAAGGTGGCTGACTCACTGAGAGTTGCTGAGCAACCAAAGCCCGGTACTGCTGCTGTGTGAGGACAATGGAATCGGAAGTATGACTCCCGTTCTCAACAGAAACAGAACCATCAGTAGACTCACTAACAACAGCATTAACCCTAGACTTCCCTTTGTAACCAGGGGGATAACCATGCTTCTTGAAGCACTTATCTATGGTATGACCAGTTAATCCACAAAAAGAACATACAGGACGCTTAGACTGATTATGGCCCTTATACTGATTGTTCTGGACTGCACAAGCCAAAGGATTAGAGCTAACAGTGGTAGAGATCCTATTCTGACGCTCAAACTGAACAATCGTGGAGAAAACCTTGTTGATAGGAGGAAGAGGATCCATCAACAAGATCGAGGAACGAGCAGACTCAAAATCCTCACCAAGACCTCTCAAGAACCTAATAATCTTATCAGACCTCGCATATTCAGCACAAGAACACTTAGGAACGCATGAGCAAGACCTAATCGGAAGATATGTCATCAACTCGTCCCAAAGAACCCTAAGCTTGGTAAAAAACTCACTCACAGACATACTGCCTTGCTTAAGAGTGAAGACCTCATCCTGTAGGTCGGCGATGCGAACAAGATCGGTGATGCTGAAATGCTCGCTGAGATCTCTCCAGACCTCGACCGCTGAGTTGAGCCAGAGGACGCTCTGACCGATATCTGGAGCGAGGGAACGAATGATCCAGCCGAGCACCATCGTGTCGCACTGCTGCCATGCAGTGTAAAGAGGATCTCCCGGCGGCGGCGTCGGAACGGCAGGATCGATGAACGCGAGCTTGTTCTTCGACAGGAGGCCAAATCGCATGGATCTCTCCCAAGAGTGGTAGTTCGGCCCGGTGAGCACGATGGACACGAGCTGCGTCGTCGAGGAATCACCGGAGCTGATGTAGTAGGGGTGATTGGGTGCGAGAGCCGCTGCGAGAGGAAGAGGCGGCTGGAACGACGAAGATGTCGCCATTGAAGAAGAAGGTCTCGGTGAAACGAAAACCCTAGAAATTTGGGGAAAAGCGGAAGCAAAAGAAAACTAGTCAGAGAAACTGATTTTGCTCTGATACCATGTTATGAGAGAGAAACGATCGTAATTTTATTTCACCAAAAGTAAAAATTACACTGTTCAACTTTACATTATATATTAGTTCTATTCTACTTAATTACAATACAGTACATAAAAGAAACAAATGTTACAGTTTGGTCCTATAACTATTCTGTACACTAACAGACAGAGACAGAGCTACATTGGGACTCGGAGCCCCCTTCCCCCATTTTTGAAGATCGTGTCATAATACGAAGAGAATTTGAAACACGTATTAATTCAGACACATTTATATATAATAGTATTGTGCAATTAGATGTCAAAGTGGTTGCTTCTAGTCTAGGGAAAAAATGATTTTCTATTATATTGGAGGCTATGGGTTCAATTTCAAACAACAATAGTTTTTTTTACTGTTACTAGCTTGATTCCCGTCCTGTTGGCCAGAGAAAATTTAAACATGGTTATTTTGTTACTCTAACATAAAATATGTCAAAATGATGCAACGAAGGAGTTCGTGTATTTGGTTGAGATGTATATGTTATTTATGGAAAGGATAGATAAAAAGTCCACTAATCATCTAAGGAATTACAAAGGTTTAAAATATTAAAATTGCAAAAGTCATGTATATTGTTATATACTTCGTATTGTTGTTCCCATATGGGGATATCTATGGCAAAAGAAAAAAAAATTAAAATATTAAAGTTGACTCAAGAAATCCGATTTAGATGTCAAGTTAGTGTGGAATGAACAATAATGACACATGTATTACATAAAAGTGCTAAATAAACATAAACATAGGTCCAATATTGGCTAAAGCTGAGTTCAAATGCTTGTGCAACAAAAGTTAGGGATATAAATATAGTAACTAAATTAAAACACTATATATTAGTTATAAACTACTAAATCAAAAGCATTTCCATTTCTCAATCTCGTAACCCGATGAACTCGCAACCCAATAAATTCGAACACGAATGCAAATCATAGCAAGGGAGGAATCAATGTTGCTGAGAAAGATTCTTCCATTGAGCTTTGGCATAAGAGACTCGGTCATTTGAGCGAGAAGGGGATGCAAATATTGTCCAAGAAACAACTCTTGCCCGGAGCTAAAGGTACTCTTCTTAAAACTTGTGTTGATTGCTTAGCCGGAAAAACTCATAGAGTTGCATTTCATAGATTCCCACCTTTTAGAAGGAGTAAGGTACTTGATCTAATTCACACCAATGTTGGTTTTATGCGAGATAAAACTCTTGGTGGTTCAAGCTATTATGTTACCTTCATCGATGATCACTCAAGGAAGGTGTGGACATATGCTTTGAAAATGAAGGATCAAGTGCTAGATGTTTTCAAGCAATTTCATGTTGAAGTGGAAAGAGAAACCGGCCTGAAGTTGAAGTGTGTAAGGGCTGATAACGGGGGAGAGTATAGAGGTCCATTCGAAAGCTACTGCAGATTGCACGGAATTAAACTGCAGAAAAGTGTACCCAAGACTCCACAACAAAACGGTGTCGCCGAGAGGATGAACAGAACAATTTGTGAGAGAATCAAGTGTATGCTCTCACATGCCAAGCTACCTAAATCATTTTGGGGAGAAGCAATGCGGACAGCGGTTGATCTAATCAACCTTTCGCCATCGGTCCCTTTGGAGGGTGACGTGCCTCAACGAGTATGGACAGGAAAGGAAGTCTCATATGAACACTTGCGAGTGTTCGTTTGCAAAGCTTATGTTCATGTTCCAAAAGATGAGAGAGAAAAGCTTGATGACAAAGCAAAGCCATGTATATTCATGGGCTATGGGCGTGAAGAGTTTGGATACATATTATGGGATCCAATTGCAAGGAAAATTGTACTGAGCCAGGATGTGATTTTTCTTGAAGATGAGACAAGTGAAGATGTCGAAAGGTGGGAAAAGAATAAAAATACAGCAGCTGGTCCAGTTAATTTGGAGCCTATATCTCCATCCCAAATGCATGAAAATGTTGAGGAAGTAGTGCATGATGAGCCCCAAGGTGCACTAGATCAAGAAGTGCAGGAGAAGAGCAATTGAAGCAAGAAGAACAGGTTGAAGAAGAGCAACCTCTATCCGAACCAAGAAAGTCAACAAGAGATCCCAAAGCTTCCACTTGGTACTCCCCTCATGAGTACCTATTGTAGACTGACGAGGGAGAACTCGAATATTATCAAGAAGCCATGTCTCATGAAGACAAGGAGGCGTGGAACAAAGCAATGCAAGAAGAGATGAAGTCTTTGCAAGAGAATCACACCTATGATTTGATGAAACTACCCAAAGGAAAAATATCACTTAAGAACAAGTGGGTCTACAAGTTAAAGACGGAGGAAACTAGTTCAAAGCCTCGGTTTAGGGCGCGACTAGTTGTGAAGGGTTTCAACCAAAAGAAAGGTGTTGACTTTGAAGAAATTTTCTCTCCCGTGGTGAAGATGTCCTCTATCCGAGTTGTGCTTGGGTTGGCTGCAAGTTTGGACTTGGAAGTTGAACAACTCGATGTGAAGATGGCGTTTCTTCATGGTGACTTAGAGGAAGAAATTTACATGGATCAACCGGAAGGGTTTGAGGTTAAAGGCAAAGAAGATCTTGTACGCAGATTGAGAAAGAGCTTATATGGGTTGAAGCAAGCACCAAGGCAATGGTACAAGAAATTTGACTCATTCATGGTGAAAAATGGGTATGCAAGAACTACCTCCGATCATTGTGTGTTTGTGAAATACTTTGCTGAAAATGATTTCATCATTCTCTTGCTTTACGTGGATGACATGTTGATCGTGGGTCGGAATGTTGGAGAGATTGATAGATTGAAAAAGGATTTGAGTAAATCCTTTGCCATGAGAATCTCTAGGGATCGAACGAATGGAAAATTTTGGTTGTCTCAAGAAAGGTATATTGAAAGATTTCTTGAGCGGATTAACATGAGCAAGGCTAAGGCGGTTAGTACTCCACTTGGAGGACATTTCAAGTTGTGTGTGAAGCATTGTCCTACAAGTGATGAAGAGAAAGAAGCAATGAAGAATGTGCCTTATGCATCAGTTGTTGGAAGCTTGATGTATGCCATGGTTTGCACAAGGCCGGATATTGCTCATGTCGTTGGGATTGTTAGTCGGTTTCTTTCCAATCCGGGGAAAGAACATTGGAGAGTAGTGAAGTGGATTCTTCGCTACTTGAGAGGTACTTCTAGAGTGTGTCTATGCTTTGGTAATGACAAGACCATACTTGATGGATATGCCGATGCTAACATGGCAGGTGATGTGGACTCTAGAAAGTCGAATTCTGGATACGGGTTAATTACAAGTTTGGTCACTTAGATTATTAAAAGCGTTCATGTTTGGTCACTAAAAATATTTAATTTCATTCGTGGTCACTAAAATTAGTTAAACGTTTCAAGTTTGGTCACTCTCCGTCCATTTCCGTTAACTTTTGCATACGTGGCAGTCAACCATCATAGTTGACCGTTAAATGAGTGACGTGGCAATTAAAAAATTAATTAAAATAAAATTTAAGATTTTCAAATTTCCACCTCATTATTGCAACCACTAAAAGAATAAATAAATATTAATAAATATTTTTTTTAAACCGTGAAAGTAGCCAGTGGGAGCGACTGTGGAGGGGAGGAAAGAGGGGAATTTCTGAATTCCAGTCGCCGAGACGGAGAGCGAGGATTCTGATTGGGATAGCGAGTAAATTTAAGAAGGAAGCAGTTGGGCCAGAGGAAGTTGATTTATCTAATTCGAATTGGGCCAAAGGAAGTGGATTTGAGATTAGAAATTAAAGGTTTATGAATTCTGGCGAAGAAATGAATCGCTAGCAAAGGAGGAATGAGATAGCAAGGTAAAGTGTGAAATTGAAATGTCACAAGAAAGAAACCAGAGACAGACTGAAGCCTCTGTTCTTCGTCTGGAACCAGAAAACAGAGCATAAATAATAGGCGGGATGGGGGAGCAATACGACCCGGAATCGATTTGGTTGTTGTGGTGACAAAGCAATAACCCATATGTGGAGAAGCTAATAGCTCAATTTGGATAAATCAGAAGAAGGTATGGTTAATTTGCGCCACTACCATTTGATATCTCATTATCATGAATTAAGTTATCATCATCGTTATTAAATACCAAAATCAATCCAAGCAACAGTTCTTCATCCAAAGATGTTCAGAATGCTCCTCATCAATGGAAGATCAAGAGCCGTGATAACGATGTAATTGCACATATTTGCGCCCCTAGTTCTTATCCGTTTGAGGGGCATAGTCGTGTATTTTTAGCATATTTTACGCCGGGTTGTGCTATTTTGTCATATTTCAGGTCCCAGGCGTCGAAGGAAAGGCTAAGCACGAGTTTCGGGGCATTCGAAAGTCATTCGGTGAAGCTGGAGTCAAAACACGGGCACACCTAAAGCAGAACACGGCCGTGTTCCTAGGCCGTGCTTTTACTGCTGAGAGCTAATTTGAGTTAAAAAAGCACGAGCTCAAAACACGGGCAGGGTTGAGGAAAAGCACGGCCATGCCCACCAAAAGCACGCCCGTGTTTTCCCCAACAGTCTGGCCGTGTAATTAAACCTTGCCAAAACACGGGCGGGCTGAGGCAAAACACGACCGTGCCCTCGACCGTGTTTTGCCCAGTGATGCCTTTTTAAGCAGATTTCAGCCAAAAGAAAAGGGGATTCGAGTTTGGAGAGAGATAGAGTGATTCCTAAAGAGAGAAAGCGACGAACAAGAGTCTCCAAGTGCCCTGGCTTGATCTTCATCACCATTGGAGCTTGGCTTGAGCTTGGAGGAGTGCCAATCAACGTCGAGGAGCAGGAATCCATCCTTCACAGTATGAATTCCGCGTCTGATTCTGCTTTTGCTTCTTTCTCCATGGAGTAGTTCTCCCATTCATCTGGGTATGGAGAACCCTAGATTTGTATGTTAGGTTTGATTGTATGAACCCAAGTACTGATTCTTATATTCAATTGAGGTTTGAATGATTGAATGACTTGAATCCTGATCAAATTCCTGTTGTTTCTACTTTAACCTAGAATGAGAATATCTGCCTAGGTTGATAGAGCATCCTTGATTGAAGGCAGGGAGTTGGTGACTTTAGTCGAGGATCCAACTCACTATTCTTACCGAATTCACTTCAGTAGTGGAGGTTTTGTTGTTAGGGCCTCAATCTGTTTACTCCGGTGGAGGTTAGTCGCCCGCTAGAGACTCAGATTGAGAGGGTCTGAAGACCTTTAGTCGACACTTCAGGCTGTTTAAGAACCTTCCGCAGTATAACTATCATAGAAACTGAACTTGGTAATTGCAATCCGGCTTAACTGCAGTCTAGGGGGAACCATATCCGGGTGACCTCTCTTAACCTGAATACAACAGTTTACTTGCTTTGTTTGTTTATTAGTTTAGACTTGCATTAAAGTTTCATTGCTAGATAACAAGAATTCACTGAGTAGTCATCAAATCTAGGACCCGGGTTGACATTTAAACCCAAACCCGCTATACTACACTTTAGGAAGTGGTTTCACTTGGCCAAATCCTGGAGTGACAGTAGAAGTGATTCAAGCCGGAAGAAGGAAACTATTCGATTGATGTTCCTCTGGCGGCGGGGTGCTTCCATTGGTGGCGAGGATTAACAGCTCCGAGATAAGCTCCTCACCGAACATCTCGAACGACGAGGAAGAGGCAGTCGGCGGCTCGGAATAAGGCTCCATGTCGGCCAGCAGGGGAAAGGAGGCAGAGAAGATGGAGCGGTGGCCGTCGGTGGACGGCCACGTTAACCGACAAACGTTCTTCCATAAATTATCCTGCGAAGCGAGCGAGCTGAGCTCCGTGGAGGTGCAAGCGGCGGAGAGGAGAGCAACTCCGTCGAGCCTCGTCAGGATGTGTGTCCGGAGAATGTTCAAGTGGGGATTTGACCGGGAAATGTTAATTTCTGTTGATTGACGTTCCCCGGCGGATGCTTCCAGTGGTAGCGAGGATTATAAAAAAAATTTCATTTTTTTAATTTTTTAATGGTTGCAATAATGAGGTGGAAATTTAAAAATCTTAAATATTATTTTTAATTAATTTTTTAATTGTCACATCACTTATTTAACGGTCAACTATAAGGGTTGACTGCCACGTAAACAAAAGTTAACGGAAATGGACGGAGAGTGACTAAACTTGGAATATTTAACTAATTTTAATGATCACTAATGAAATTAAATATTTTTAGTGACCAAACATGAACGTTTTTAGTAATCTCAGTGACCAATCTTGCAATTAACCCTTCTGGATACATGATGACTTTTGCAGGTGCTGCAGTTTCATGGCAATCTAAACTGCAAAAATGTGTTGCATTATCAACAACTGAAGTCGAATACATAGTTGTGACAGAACCTTGCAAAGAGATGTTATGGTTGAAGAAGTTTCTTCAAGAGTTGGGCATTAAGCAAGAGAGGTATGTGCTCTATTGTGATAGTCAAAGTGCAATTCATCTTTGCAAGAATCCAACTTTCCACTCAAGGTCGAAACACATAGATGTTCGATATCATTGGATTCGTGATGTTTTGGAAGAGAAGTTGTTGGAGCTCAACAAAGTTCATACGGATGACAATGGTTCGGACATGATGACTAAGTCTCTACCAAGTGGAAAATATATCTTCTTTCGAGATGAAGAAGGTTTGGTGCTACCCCCCCATATGAGCTGGAGGGGAAAATATATCTCTAGAGAGGACTTGTAATCCCAACAAAGTCTAGTGGAGTTGTGGCTTGGACAAAGGTCCCGTGGTTTTTCCGGATTTGGATTTTCCACGTAAAAATGTGTGTCTTGTGCATTCTATTATTGCTTGTAGTTGCTTCCCGGTTTCTCAACAGTTTCGATTGTGTCATGGGTTTCCCTTTGTTAATTAATTGTTCCTTTTGAACGTGTCTTCACTAACCCTTCTGTACGTGACTTCCGATTGTTTTATGAATTAGTGGACGATTGTTAATTAATTAGTACCGAGGCGACAGTAGCAAGAACTTCAACGACGAGTCTCCGTTCCCCTCCGCATATCCCAAACCTAATCTCGCCCTTCTCGGTGGGGGAGTGATCTGGTTTCCGGATCCGGCTGTTACGCTGAAGATTCTAGAGCATTCTAGTAGGATGCAAGTACATGCATGCATCTTCCGATTCATGCACCAATGTACATGCATCCCCTTATCTATCTTTTATTCATGCACCTTATTTATTAAATTCATGTATGGGGTGGGGGGGACTTCTAGGTTCGTTCATTTATGACGGCCACATACATTGTACTTAGTGGAGAGGGTGCCTATATAAGCAGCCCTCTCCCTCATTTGTCATTCATCCAGATATTGAGAGTTCCATCTCTAGAGATTTTCTCCATACTTTTGAGTTTGAAAGAATACGAGCAAGGCTGACTTAGCGCTCTAATGAGACTTAAGGGCTAAGTGCCGAACGGCCAAGAGTTGGTCCGTGACAAGTGGTATCAGAGCTAAGGTCGTAGCTCAGCAAGTAGGAAAGAGCCTCGAAGAGATGGCTGGATCCGGAAGCGAAGTTCTCAACAATGAGCAACAACGCGGTCGTGAGGAGAAGAAGGATCCAAACAATCGTGATAGATCAACTCGAGAGCCTTTGGTGGCAATCGAGGAGAGGATCATGAGAGCGGAGACGATGATTGCCAAGCATACAACCATGTTCGAGGACATGGAGTTGAAATTCGATCAAGTCAACACAGAGGTGGAGACTTCGCAGGACGACAGGCAAGGCTTGGGCACTCGAATGGCAGGCTTGGAGGTGGGGTTAGAAGCTTTCAGAGACGAGTTTATGACCATCATCACCAACGCCATCGACTCCTTGAGGGAGACCGTTCGAAGCTAGTGGACGAAGTAAGGGAAGAATTTGACGAGCTTCAAGGAGAGCTCAATCTCATCAAACGAGTCGTGGCGAACGGACCTGCCGCGACTCAATCTACATCACGAGTAGATGTTCCAAGGTCAAAGAACTTCGGTGGGTTGAGGAACGCGAGGGAATTAGAGAATTTCCTCTGGATTCTTGAACAGTATTTCAAGGCTTCGGACATCAATGATAACGAAGTCATGGTGCGCACCGCCTCCCTTTACTCGGTCGATACGGCCATGGTGTGATGGAGGAGAAGGCAAGGTGATATAGAAAGAGGCACATGTGTGATTGACACATGGGAGGATTTCCGTAGGGAAATCAAGAGGCGGTTCTACCCGGAGAATGTGGAAATGGAAGCTCGTGCAAAGCTTCGACGACTCACCCACACCGCTGGAATTCGAGAGTATGTCAAGGAGTTCTCGGAATTGCTACTCGAGATCCCCGATCTGCCGGACAAGGAGGCTTTGTTGGCTTCCTTTTCGGATTGCAGCCTTGGGCAAAGTTGGAGCTCGAGAGGCGTGGAGTGCAAGATCTTGCTACTGCCTTGGCAACGGAAGAGGCTCTCACGGAGTACAAGAAGAGTGAGAGGCCGAACGATTCGAAGAACTCGAAGAACAAAGGAGGAGGACATCATAGGAAGCACTCCAAAGAAGGGAAAGGCTCGTACCAACATGGAGGCTCGAGCAAGGGAGCAAGATCTGGTAACTATGATAAACCCAAATCTTGTTTCCTTTGTAACGGTCCACATAAGGTGCGAGATTGCCCAAAGAAGAGAAAACTAACAGCCTTGGAGAAACAAGAAGGGGAGGCCAAGGAAAATGCTAGGGAAGATAAAGGGAAAATAGGCTCCATGCGGAGGCTAGGCGCGGCGAGGTCCGGTGCCAACGAAGTTAGCTAGGGGAGATTCTTTGTGATCACCCAATTCAAGGGAGGCGAGTCGAAGGCATTGATTGACACCGGTGCGACTGACAACTTCCTTCGAGTAGAGGAGGCGGAGCTCTTGGGGGATCCCTTACGAGAAGAGGCAAGGATCGCTCAAGACCGTCAACTTCGATGCAATACCCATCCATGGTGTTGCCAAGAACATGCCATTAAAGATCGAAGGTTGGGAAGGTGTTGCCGACTTCAGCATCATCACTATGGATGATCATCCGGTCATTCTCGGCGTCAACTTCATGGAGAAGGAGGGGGCGGTGATGGCAATGAATTCCAACACTCTCTGCCTTGACAAGGAAGATAAGTTTTGCGCGGTGGAGATGTTGCGCGAAGAAGGGCCGAAGAGAGCTTTATTGGCCATGGAATTGTTGAAAGGAATGAATAGGATGGAACCCACGTTCCTTGTCAGTTTGCGAGCGAAGGAAGAAGGAGGCTGTTGGCCCTGAAATGACACAATCATCATCAAAACGAAGCACTTCACAATGATGTCGTTTCACGAACCTCGCAACGACGCCGTTTCGCTACATCATCCTTCGAAGTCAAGAGAGGACTCCTCGATTGATGATCTCCCTGATCTCTTCTCTCGATCGTCCTCTTTCAGCAGAAGCTTCAGCTTTCTCGAGCTTGCTCCACCTAGCACCGTCTCTATGATAATGAATGATGAAGACTATGGAAGGCTCCAGATTAGGCAATGGTCATCTGCTTTCAGCACTATAAATTGTAAGCCTTCTGCTCGATAGCAATTTGGCAGTCTATAGTAAGAGCTTTTGGGTCTTAAGTCTCTTCTATGTTTGGTCCTTGAATGTATTTGCTTCAGTAGATTGAATCACGGTGTATGGGAGTGTACTGGGTGATTCGAATCTTGGGAAGTAGGAGTGTTGAGTGTTGTTTCTATCAAAGAGCCAAGTTACTTGGCTTGGCTAGGGTTCATTGTGTTGTCTAAACTCTATTTGCTAAATCAATAAAATCGTTTCTCTTTTCTTTACAAGAAATTGGTCTATAAAAGAAAAAATTGAAATCTCCTTGTGTGTGCAACTCATATTTTGAGTCTACAATTGGTATCAGAGCCTACTCTTTGTGGGATTAATCGTCGCCAAAGAGAAGGTCTTGGGATGTCAGGAACATCCTCAACCGTAGTCGCATACTCCGCAAATATAAACCCTCTGTGGTTTGATGGAACGGATTACACCGTTTGGAAGAAAAGGATGCGGATATACCTTCATGGAGTTGATGGAGAATTGTGGGCAGTTGTCAGAAAATGGCCAATTCCTATGGAAGATGAAGATGAAGAAGACTGGAAAGAAGAGCAGAAAATCTCCTCTCAGCTTGATTCCAGAGCTATGCATATTCTGTTCTCTGCACTGAGCCCTGAAGAAAGGAGTCAAGTGGCTCAATGCGAGTCAGCCAAGGAGATATGGGAGTCTCTTCAGACCACTCATGAAGGTACGTCTGAAGTTAACGAAAGTAGAATAGATGTGTTGCTAAATGAATATGAATCTTTTGGAATGAGCTCAGGTGAGTCAATCTCTAGTATGTACAAAAGATTCAATAATTTGATAAATCTCTTAAAAGGGCTAGGAAAAGTCTTTGAAACTAAGGATTTAGTTAGGAAAATAGTGAGATGTCTTCCTAGAGAATGGTTACCTAAACGCATTGCAATTGAAGAAGCTAAAGATCTAAAGGCATTGTCTATTGAAAGATTAGTAGGATCATTGTAAAGTCATGAGGAAGTTATAATACAAATAAACAAAGAAGATCATAGAAGAAGAAAAGTTATAGCATTAAAGGCACAAGAATTTGACAGTGATTCTGAAGTAGACATGGGAGAGGAATTTGAAAAGGAATTCGCTTTAGTTAGTAGAAAATTCCATCGAATGCTCAAAATGAAGAAGGATTTTCAAGCAAAAGGGCATATCATGATTCCAGAGGATTCAATAATCACTCTTATGACTATAAAAGAGAAAGGGAAGGAACTGAAAAAATTCCCACTAAGACAAATGAAAGATATGCATCGAATAGATCTTATTCTGAAAAAAACTCTCCAAAGTCTTATGATAGATTCTCAGAAGGTCGAGAAAGGTTCAGATTCGATAAGGAAGACAATAAGTCTTCCAATGAGAGGGATTTAACTATCTGTTTTAAGTGTGGTAAGCCTGGACATATGAGATCAAAATGTCCTACTAGCATCAAGACAAAGGAAAAGGCACTTGCAGCATCCTGGAGTGACTTCAGCTCAGAAGAGGAGCAAGAAGTAAAAAACCTGGCATACATGGTTTTTGCAACCAAAGATGAAAGCGACATCCAATCTTCAACTAGCCATGACCCTCTACCTCCTTCATGCTACCAGGTAATTTATGACTCAGAATCAGAAACGGAAAATAAAGCTAAACCAAAAACTGAGTTTTTAAATGCATTAGCAAATCTTCAAGAAGAATGTAACAGACTTAAAAGTAAGTATTGCATGTTAATGACTGATAATCAAGCCCAAAAAGATGAAATTTCGACTTTGAAAAGATCCTTAAATATTCAAACTGAATGGAATAAGGAGCTGAAAAAACAAGTCTTTGACCTCAAAAATGAAAATCAAAGACAAAGAGATATATGCAAGACCAACTCTACTTTTGTTAAAAGAGATCTTAGTATGCTCAATTCAAGTTCTAACATGAGAACTCCTTTTCAAAGAAGGTTTACTAAGCATAATTATGCTGAATATAAAAAGTACTCAAAATACCCTGTAATTTTCACCTGCTCCTATTGCAAGAGAAAAGGACATGTGGCAAAATTCTGTTATGATCTAAATCCCAGAAAACCAGTTGTATCCAAAACATTTTGGGTACCAAAATGTGCTAACCTATGACTGATTGCAGAGTTTGGGAGAAAATGAAAACACATGGTTTCTGGACAGTGGTTGCTCCCACCACATGAAAGGTAAAAAGGAACTGTTTTCTTCTTTAAGTTACAAAAAGGGTGGTAAGGTGGTATTTGGATATGATTGTGTAGGAATAATTATGGGAAATGGAACAATTGGTAAGAGTCCTCTCCCTACGATAAAAGATGTGTTATTTGTTAAGGGTCTTAAGCACAATCTTCTCTCTATCAGTCAATTATGTAATTCTGAAAATAGAGTCGTTTTTGAATCTTCCTCATGTGAAATTATCAGAATAAAGGACAACAACCTACTGTTTAGTGGAACTAAGAAAAACAATATGTATGTAGTAGACTTGAACTGTCTAAAAACATTTAATGAGACTTGAACTAAGAAAATCTTCCTCATGATCTTGAGATATTGTGGCATAGGAACCTTGGTCATATAAGTCTTTCCAAACTGTCACAATTGTCAAAATTAGAATCTGCACGTGGAATTCCTCTATTAAGAGAAAACTCCAAGTTTTTATGTGATGCGTGTGTTGGAGGTAAACTAGTCAATAAGTGTTTTAAACCTAAAAAGGATATAACCATTTCTGAACCATATGAACTGATTCACATGGATCTCTTTGGACCAACTAATGTGGTAAGTTTGGGAGGTAAGTCTTATGCTCTCGTACTTGTTGATGATTTCTCTACATATACATGGGTTTATCTTCTTGCATCAAAGGATGAAGCTTTCATCTACTTTAAGAATTTTGTGAATCTCATACTGAATGAATCCAAAAATGGTATTAAATCAATTAGAAGTGACAATGGAGGTGAATTCATTTCTGAACACTTTAGTGGTCTATGTAATGACAGAGGAATAAACCATACATTTTCAGCCCCTAGAACACCTCAACAAAACGGTGTAGTTGAAAGAATAAACATAACCATAATTGAAACTGCAAGGACAATGTTACTAGAGTATGGTACTCCTAAGTTTCTCTGGGGAGAAGCTGTTATGACAGCTGTCTATGTGATAGATAGGGTATTGATCAGGAAATCTATAAACAAAACCCCTTATGAGATCTTAAAACAAAAAACACCAAACTTAGGGTATTTTCATCCATTTGGGTGTAAATGCTTCATTTTAAATACCAAGGATCACCTATATAAGTTTGACTCAAAATCTTATCAAGGAATTTTCTGGGTTACTCACTTAAAGGGCAGGCATACATAATTTACAACCTCGGGTCCAAAAAGGTTGAAGAGTCTGTGTTTGTAAAATTTGATGAAACTAGAAGTACTAACAAAGTCTGTGTTGAATGCATAGATCTTTTATTTCCTGTGTCAAATGAAAGGGAGATCTCTGAAGACCATCTCAGAGACCTACCTCAAGAAACGACCAAGGAAGACAAAGAGGAAACAAGTGGTGAGTCAAGTAAAGAAGAAGAAAAGAAAGCACCACCACATATCCAGAAGAGACATCCTCCTTCACAAATCATTGGACAGTTGAATGCAGGAATTCATACCAGAGGTAAGTACCAACCAAGTCAGTATGCTTTTGTGTCTCTGCTAGAACCTAGAAACTACAAAGAAGCTTTACTAGATGATGAATGGTTAAATGCTATGCAAGAGGAACTTATACAGTTTGCTAGATTACAAGTATGGGAACTAGTTCCTCGCCCTCTTGACAGATTAATAATTGGTACAAAATGGGTTTTCATAAACAAAACAGATGAGGAAGGGGAAATTATTAAAAATAAAGCTAGACTTGTAGCGCAAGGTTACTTGCAAGAAGAAGGAATAGACTTTGATGAGACATTTGCCCCTGTTGCTCGAATTGAATCCATTAGAATGTTGTGTGCTTATGCATGCTATATGAAAATTCCCTTGTTTCAAATGGATGTAAAAAGTGCATTCCTAAATGGAGAACTAAGAGAAGAAGTATATGTGAGTCAACCACCTGGTTTCGTTGATTACAAATACCCTGATCATGTTTACAAACTATCAAAAGCTTTATATGGGCTAAAACAAGCCCCTAGGGCATGGTATGAAAAACTATCCTCCTTAAATTCTGAAGGGTTCAGTCAAGGAAATGTCGACAAGACACTTTTTATCAAGAAAGAAAATACTTATACATTAATTGTTCAAATCTATGTAGATGACATAGTTTTTGAATCAACTAATCCATCTATGAGTACAAAATTCTGTGAAACAATGAAATCTAATTCGAAATGAGCATGATGGAAGAATTATCTCATTTTCTAGGGTTACATATTAAGCAATCAGACTCAGGAATATTAATCAGTCAAACCAGTTACACTGAATCAATACTTAAGAAATTTGACATGTATTCAGTTAATGTGAGTGCAACTCCTATGGCCACTAACTTAAAATTGGACAAGGATGAGGGAGGTATCTCCTTTTGTGAAAGAAAATACAGAGGGATGATAGGGTCTCTCCTTTACTTAACAGCCAGTCGACCAGATATCCAATTTAGTGTAGGGCTGTGTGCTAGATTTCAATCAAGCCCCAAAGAAAGCCACTTCAAAGCTGTTAAAAGAATCTTTAGGTACCTTAAGGGAACCGTAGATATTGGATTATGGTATCCTATATCCAACTCATTTGAGTTAATCGGATATAGTGACTCAGACTTTGGAGGAAGCCTAGTTGATAGAAAAAGCACTTCAGGAACAGTCCAACTACTTGGTCCATCACTTGTGCCATGGTTTAGCAAAAAACAAGGGGCAGTAGCACTCTCTACTGCTGAAGCAGAATACATGGCTGCTGGGAGTTGTTGTGCTCAAATAATGTGGATGAAAGCACAATTAACAGACTATGGTTTCAAATTAAAAGAAATTCAAGTGTGCTGTGACAATACTAGTGCAATAAGTATGACAAAAAATCCAGTTCAACACTCAAGAACCAAGCACATTGAAATAAAGTATCATTTCATAAGAGAACTTGTACAAGCTATTCACATTGAATTACAATTTGTGGCAACTGAATATCAGTTAGCTGATCTGCTAACAAAACCCTTAGCGAGTGAGCGTTTCCTACAACTCTGCACAGAATTAGGCTTAAAATCCTTAAGGTAGATTAAAAATCTTCAAAGCTAAGTACCTCCTTGGGTTTCTGTCTTACATGCATTGGTGCAGTAAATCATGATTGTAAACATATCAGCCAAAAATAAAAATAAACAAGTTGATTGGTTCTTTCTTTCTCAGAACTTTTTGTGTGTCTTAGTTTAACAAAATAAACGCTCCTTTACGGCTCATGCTTGCCTCGACTAATACATCCATGCCTTTCCTTAATCATTGCTCTTTATCTCTTTGCCTGCGGGAAACTCTTCATCTTCTCCTCTCCTTCACCCTTCTTCTCTATATAAGCACCATAATCCATCTTCCCTATTCACATTGCTCTACTCAAAACCAAATCCCTCTTACCAAACACCGAGAGAAAACGCGAAAAATCAGCCTCTAAAAACATGAGTGACCATCTCCCACGTCCTTTTCGCTTTGATGGACTGGTCCACACATACTCTAGATACATGTTCCATGAGCCTTTAGTGGTCAACCCCATCATCGCTATCTGCAGCACTTTGACAAAAGAAGGCGGCATCATATCAATCAGCTTGAACCTTACGAGTTCAACCTCTACAAGTATGATATTGTCTCTCTTATTGATGGTCTCGGGTGGGATTTTCTTCTTCGGCAGCCAGTGCACCTTGCCTGCCCTGGTGCAGTAAAATACTTCTACTCCAACCTTAAAAGGCAGGGTGTTAGCTCTAGAAGCTTCACTACTCTTGTGTATGGTCATCTCTTGACCATACCTGTCGATGCTATCAATGGTATCCTTGGCTATCCTTCTCAAGGACTCGATTTAGCTCATCCCTCTGAATTCTGGAAACATGAATCCAAGGTTGAAGTGGATTATGGGAACTTCTCCACTGAGCCAACTGGAGGCTCAGATGTCCCTATTCCAGTGTCTTGGGTGCCTCCTCGACTGAGGATATTTCATCAATTTCTCACTCATGTTCTCTTCCCACGATCCTTCAATCAGGATCGAGTTCTCCACATGGATCTGTGGATTATTGCTAGTGCAACTGCAAGGCGCAAGCTGGACTATTCAAGCATAGTGTTTGGGCAACTTCTTCCTGTAGGAGATGAAAACTATAGAGGATTGGTGCCATTTGGGTCCCTAATCACTCGTTTACTGATCAACCTCGGGGTAGATCTTTCTGAGTTTCGAAGCATTTCCTCTACCATGTACATCAGTGCACTTAATGTAGTGATGGTGTTGGATTTACCCACTGAAATCTCTCCTCCTCCTCGTCCCTCTGCCTCACTTCTCAGGCCTCCTCCTAAGCCCGCTGCTGTCAAAAGGACCAAGTCAGTGGGAGAACCCAGTAAGACTGGGGGTCTGGTCTTCACCATCTCTGAAGGAGATTCTTCCTCAGATGACTCTGCTGCTACAGCTCCTATCTCTTCTCCTGCCTCTTAATCTTCTGCCTGTTATTCAGTTCTTTGTGTGTTATCCTGTTGGTAGGATATGTGCTTTTAGTTAGGGGGAATCTAGTTAGAGTAGCATTTTGGGGATTCTGTTCAGGGGGAATTCTGCTCAAGACTTTGTCCTGTTATTTTTTACTGCTGTCCTCATCAGAACATGCCATCTGTTGTAGCCCTTTTTCTTATTAATCAATGAACTGCATACTTCCCTCGAGACTCTTGTACAGCTGTGGTTTCTTGTTCTGTTTTGCAGGGACTTCTCGGATGAAGGGGGGAATTGTTGGCCCTGAAACGACGCAATCATCATCAAAACGAAGCACTTCACAATGATGTCGTTTCACGAACCTCGCAACGACGCCGTTTCGCTACATCATCCTTCGCAGTCAAGAGAGGACTCCTCGATTGATGATCTCCCTGATCTCTTCTCTCGATCGTCCTCTTTCAGCAGAAGCTTCAGCTTTCTCGAGCTTGCTCCACCTAGCACCGTCTCTATGATAATGAATGATGAAGACTATGAAAGGCTCCTGATTAGGCAACGGTCATCTGCTTTCAACACTATAAATTGTAAGCCTTCTGCTCGATAGCAATTTGGCAGTCTGTAGTAAGAGCTTTTTGGTCTTAAGTCTCTTCTACGTTGGGTCCTTGAATGTATTTGCTTCAGTAGATTGAATCACAGTGTATGGGAGTGTACTGGGTGATTCGAATCTTGGGAAGTAGGAGTGTTGAGTGTTGTTCCTATCAAAGAGCCAAGTTACTTGGCTTGGCTAGGGTTCATTGTGTTGTCTAAACTCTATTTGCTAAATCAATAAAATCGTTTCTCTTTTCGTTACAAGAAATTGGTCTAGAAAATAAACAATTGAAATCTCTTGGTGTGTGCAACTCATATTTTGAGTTTACAGAGGCTCGGTGGCGCCAAAACCTCTCATCGAGGTCGTGTTGGAGGAGTTCATGGATGTGATGCCAAAGGAGCTACCAAAGAAGCTCGTGCCAAGAAGAGAAGTAGATCACAACATCGAGCTTGAGTAGGGGGCAACTCCACCAGCAAGAGCACCTTATCGCACGGCCCCTCCAGAGTCGGAGGAATTGAGGAAGAAACTCAAGGAGTTGATGGATGTTGGCTTCATCCAATCATCAAAATCCCCTATGGAGCACCCGTGTTGTTCCAAAAGAAGAAAGATGGTTCGTTGCGAATGTGCATCAATTATCGAGCTATTAACAAGCTCACGGTGAAGAACAAGTGGCCAATCCCCAATATTGGCGACTTGTTTGATCAACTCGGAGAAGCAAAGTGGTTCACGAAGCTTGATCTTCGCTCGGGGTACTATCAAGTGAGGATAACCAAGGGGGACAAGGCTAAGACGGCTTGCATGACGAGGTATGGCTCATATGACTTCTTAGTTATGCCTTTTGGTCTAACCAACGCTCCTGCTACTTTTTGCACCTTGATGAACCAAGTTTTCGAGCCCTTCTTGGATCTCTTTGTGGTGGTGTATTTGGATGACATCGTGGTATACAGCAACACACTCAATGAGCATGCCGAGCACTTACGACAAGTGTTCCAAGTCCTTCGAGACAACGAGCTCTACGTCAAGATGGAGAAGTGCACGTTTGTTGCCGCGGAGGTTCCTTTCCTCGGCCACATCATTGGTGGAGGCAAACTAAAGATGGACGAAGTCAATGTGGAGGAGATACAAGGATGGGAGCCACCAATGAGGGTCACGGTGTTGCGATCATTCCTCGGCCTCGCCAACTATTATAGGAGATTCATCAAGGGATACTCCACTCTTGTTGTAACATCTCTGCCCTCGTACAAATTATTATGACGTATTTGTGATCGGATTACAAAAAATTGGTCTTTTGAACCAAAAAGAAAGTGAATAGTGAAAGTTTTAGACTTAATTGCAAGTGAAGGAAAGTTTAGGGCCAAATGGACAATTTGGAGGGCTGGAGAATTCTAGATAAGGGAGATAAAAATCTGCCCCATCCTCTTATCTCTCATTTTCTTCTCATCCCTTCCCCTCACTCTCTCCCACGTCCCTCTCTTGCTCTCTTTCTTCCACCTGGTTTCACCACCCCAAAAACCACCATCCCTTTTCAGAAACAAGTAGTAGATAGATAGAGAGAAAAGGATATCAAGGAAAGAAAGAAGAAGGGAAACAAGGGGTGCTACCAATTTTCGTCCAGCAGCAGGACAGCTTGTGGGAAGGACGATTCTGGACACTTGAGCCGTTGGATCGTTCTGATATTTGGAGATTTTGTTCTATATCTCCTTTTCTACGATTGGACCGTTCGGATCATTGTTATGATCTCTGGTTCATCTAGGAATGTCGCTGGACAGAAGGGGTGCGACATTGCTTTCCTGTAGCAGGACAGCAGATTATAGGTAAGATCTTGTACGAAGTAGCCGTTGGATCTTTCTAGCAATTTGGTATAATTTTAAGTATATAAGTTTCTTTGAGTTGACCGTTCGGAACTTAGTTTTAATTTCGGAGTGATCAAGAACAATTGTTAGAAGTAGGGGAGTTGGATTGAAGTGAGAAGAAAGTAGCTGACAGTTTCGAAACGTCAATTTAAAATGATTTCTGGGCTCAAACTACTGATAAAAATGGTCTGAAATTTGGATATGCTGTATCCCTATGAATCTAGTTTCAGTAGCAACAAGAATCAACTGATTTGGTTAAGTATCAAGGGAGAAATGACCGAAATGATGAAGCAGGGTGACGTGTACGGTATCTTGGTGCTTGGATAACTTGGAAATCTTGTATATAAAGGTAAGGAGCAAGCCGGGGGCTCATCTAAAGGCAAGGGTATAGCCGAGTGAAGATAAAATAGTGAGTAGATTCTAATCTTAAATCTACTTCAACATAATAACAGTATTCGGGTCATGAAGCGGCCCGAATACATATCGGGGTCATGAAGCGGCTCCGGTATAATATGTGAATTCATGGGAAATGATATGGCTAGGTGATACGGCTTATTAGTGTTTATTCCTTATTTGCATTTGGTATGAAGTTGGAAATGCATGAATTGTGGAAGGGATATGGAAGGACATTTTGTTGATTTATTGTGTGGGTTGTGAGTAAGTAGTCGAGCTTGCGAACTCGTCCTGTCTACTTAGATTTGGAGTAAGCTATTAGGCTTACTAATCCTGTTTTGCTTGAATAACTCGGAGTAAGCTCCTCAGTGTACATTTCATTCTATTATGACCGAGGGTGCAAAAGCACTATGAATGCTTCTAAGCATATAGTGTATAAGTGAGCCTACGGGTTAATGATTATTGACGGGTGTCTAAGTGAACTATAAATGAAAAGAGGTGAATACATAAGATAGGAAAAAGGGCTTCATGATGCCTCGGTACAGTAGTGTGTCCGGTTTGTATCGATAGGGGTAAATCCCACGATACTCATGTTTGAGCGCTCGTGCTCCGCACCGTGCCGATTGGGTGACGACCCACGATACTCATGTTCTGTTCAGTTAGCCGGGCTGGGGTAATCCCGTGGCGACTCCTGTTTTCTATCGGTCCGGGTTACGTCCCGCGATACTCCTGTTAGTGCGAGCACTCCTGTTTCGTGCCTTGTGCACTCCTATTTATACCGGTCTGGGTTTTGTCCCGCGGTACTCCAGTTATCTGATGGCTGTGCATGGTTACCCTGCAGCCTTCCACTACTGTACTACCCGGGGAGGATATCATTTAGCAAATTTGAAAGTGAAATTGTATAAGTAAAATGTCTCTGCCTGTCATATGTTGTATGTGTTTTGACTGTGATGGGATGTGAATATGTGAACTTTATTGATTCAGTGGGATAAACAACTTAAGTCCTGTTATGTGCTAGGGTGTTTATGCCCGATACTGTTTTTGTATTGATGTCGATCTGAGCTTAGAATTTATTCACTAAGCGACGACTCATCCTCCGTCACCATTTTTCCTCAGATCAAGAGCAGAAGTAAGGCGTGTACTGTAGATATCGGGACTCAAGCTTGAAGGGAAGCCATGAGGTGGACGGAGGACTCCGAACTCCTTGAATGTTTTATGTTGTGTGGATTTTGTAATAAAGCAGACTTCCCCGGTTTTCTGTTTCGACTCTATTGAAAATGTAAATTATGGTTTGAAGTTCGAAAGAAAAAAATACATATATAAAGCTCGGGGCCGAGAATGTTTAAACTCGATGTATGTTTTACTATTTTGTTTTGTAATGTAAAGTATGGGTGTTTTTTAACACTTGCAGCACCCTTGACGGATCTTCTAAGGAAAAACAAGGCTTGGGAATGGTCGGATCGGTGTCGCGAAGCATTTGAAGCCTTGAAGAATGCGGTGATGAGGGAGCCGGTGCTAGCACTTCCCGATCCAACCAAGGCGTATGAAGTGCAAACGGATGCTTCCGATTTTGCAATCGGTGGAGTGTTGATGTAAGAGGGGCACCCAATTGCATTTGAGAGCCGCAAGCTCAATGAGGCCGAGAGGAGATATGCGGTGCAAGAGAATGAGATGACGGCGGTGGTCAATTGTTTGAGAACGTGGAGGCATTACTTGCTTGGGTCGAAGTTCGTGGTAAAGACGGACAATGTGGCGACGAGTTACTTCCTCACACAGAAGAAACTCACGCCCAAGCAAGCAAGGTGGCAAGATTTCCTCGCGGAGTTCGACTTTGTGCTGGAGTACAAGCCAGGGAAAGCCAAATTTGTTGCCGATACTCTTAGCTGAAAGAGCACACTTGCCACCATCAGCCAGCCGCAATTCCCCTTGAAGGAGCGGATTGAAGAAGGCCTTGGGCACGACCCCTTTGCCAAAACAGTGGTCGAGTACATCAAGCAAGGGAAGACTAGGCGGTTTTGGATGAAAGGTGGACTGATCGTGACTAAGAGGGAGCGAGTGTTCGTGCCGTGGTGGGACAACCTACGAAGGGAGATCATGAAGGAGTGTCACGACTCCAAGTGGGCTGGTCATCCCGACATTGAGCGCACACAAGCTCTAATCGAGGAGGCTTACTATTGGCCTCATATGAAGGACGACGTGGAACTCTACGTCAAGACTTGTCTTGTCTGCCAGTAAGACAAGATGGAGCAGCGGAGTCCGACGGGCTTGTTGGAGCCACTACCCACTCCACAACGACCTTTGGAAAGCGTTAGCATGGATTTCATCATCGGTCTTCCAAAAGTCGAAGAATGTGGTTCCATCATGGTCGTCGAGGACCGATTTTCGAAGTATGGCGTCTTCATCACAGGGCCCAAAGACATGACGGCCGAGGATGCAGCTCGCTTGTTTTTCAAACATGTTGTGAAGTATTGAGGCATCCCGGTTAGCATCGTCGGCGATAGAGATGGCCGCTTCACCGGCAAGTTTTGGAGGGAGTTGTTCAAGATGATGGACTCCGATCTAAACTTCTCCACGAGCTTTCATCCTCAAACGGATGGGCAAACCGAGCGGGTCAATGCTTTGGTGGAAGACTACTTGAGGCATTATGTGAGTGCCAACCAGAAGGATTGGGTGAAGTTATTGGATGTAGGCCAATTCTCCTACAGCTTTCCCCGAAGTGAAGCCACGAGCATGAGCCCGTTCGAGTTTGCTACCGGGCAATAGTCGTTGACACCTAATACGGTGACGACGGGGTACAAGGGCAACATCCCATCTGCCTACAAGTTTGCACGAGGATGGCACGAGAAGATGGAGTTGGCTAAGTCTTATCTCGCTCGAGCAAAGAAGAAGATGAAGAAGTGGGCGGATAAGAAGCAGCGTCACTTGGAATTCGAGGAGGGGGACTTGGTGATTGTTAAGTTCTTCCCTCATCGATTCAAGCACCTAAAAAATGTGCACAAGGGGCTGCTGCAACGATATGAAGGGCCATATTCGATTGTGAAGCTGATTGGCATGGTGGCATACAAAGTCGAGTTGCCATCGCACTTTGAGATTCACCCTGTCTTTGATGTGAGTCAATTAAAGCCATATCATGAAGAGAAGAAAGACGGAGCGCGGAAGGAATGGACGAGGGCACCAACTCTAGTCACCACAACACATGAGCACAAAGTTGAGGAGATCATGGCTCATCGTGTTGTGCCTAGGCGTGGTGTTCACCCAAGCTACGCGGAATATCTTTTCAAGTGGAAGGGGCGGCCAGAAAGCGACATCACTTGGGAGAAGGAGCTTTCACTATGGCGTCACAAAGACTTGATCGAGCCATTTCATGCGGAGTCCACGACTAGGGCGTCACGAGATTGAGTGGAGGAGAATGTTACGCAGAAGATTCTAGAGCATTCTAGAAGGATTATAGTACATGCATGCATCTTCCGATTCATGCACCAATGTACATGCATCCCCGTTATCTATCTTTTATTCATGCACCTTATTTATTACATTCATGTATGGGGCAAGTTCATATATGGAGGGACTTCTAGGTTCTTTCATTTATGACGGCCACATACATTGTACTTAGTGGAGAGGGTGCCTATATAAGCAGTCCTCTCCCTGATTTGTCATTCATCCAGAAATTGAGAGTTCCATCTCTAGAGCTTTTCTCCATACTTGTGAGTTTGAGTGAATACGAGCAAGGCTGACTTAGCGCTCTAACGAGACTTGAGTACTAAGTGTCGCACGGCCAAGAGTTGGTCCGTGACATGGCCCACTGCAACAGGAGTCGGTTGGGGAATGGTGGTTTGAGAGAATGAATGGGGCAAGGCAATGAAACAAAGCCACAGGTCCATTTAATTTGCTTTGTCCAATTAAATCCCACCTGTAAAAGGAGAAGTGGATGTGTGTCCTTGTCCAATTAATTTCGATTGAGATGTCTCGCATGGAATTAAAGAGACCTAGGCAGTTGTCATCATTACTTCTAGGCAGTTTGGGATGATGTTTACTTTGTGGTGAAAGTATAGGAGAGATGCGGGCAGATGGATAGAAGGAGGTATAGGTTAGCATGCTAACCCTTCTAAGGGGTTGGAAAAATGACACCTCTATTAATTATAGTTATTTTTTGTATTGAATTCGTGTTGCATGTAATAATATTTGAAAATTAAAAACTCATCTTAATTACATTCCTTTGTTTTAACTATCATTGCACTTGTATACTGAACTCATATTAATTACGTTTCTTTTTTGGAACTACCATTGCACCTATATACTGAACTCATATGAATTAAGTTCCTTTTTTGGAACTACCATTACACATGTACAATAATATCATTGCACTGATACAACTACCAGTGACCTGAAAAAGGAAAGTGATTAATATGTGTTTTTAAATCATACAAATTATTAAATGCAACACTAATTAATTACCTTAAAAACCTATAATTAATAGGGGGTAAATTATAAGGATGGTCACTGGAATTACTAAAAACTTTCATGTTTAGTCACTAGAAATATTTAATTTCATTCGTGGTCATTAAAATTTGTTAAACGTTTCAAGTTTGGTTACTCTCCGTCCAACTCCGTTAAATTTTTCTTATGTGGCAGTCAACTTCTATAGTTGACCGTTAAATGTGTGACGTGGAAATTCAAAAATAATAAAATAAATAAAAATTAATTTTTAAAATTTTCACCTCATTTTCAACTATTTAAAAATAAAAATAATCTCTTATAATCCAACAAACCCTTACCGTCCTTGCCTGCACAGTTTCCCACCGCCGCCTATCGATATCTCTTCTCGTCGCTGTGTCCCCTAGCCGGTGAGACATTCTACCTAGAGTCACATACATGAAAGAGAATGAGGGTTGAGCTTGCCGAGACGGGAGTACATCAAAACGCCAGCGAAGAAAACGAGCAATCGGCGAAGAAGAATAATGCGAAAGAACTCATTGGAGAGGAAGAAGAAGAAGAAGAAGGGGTACTGCGCGGCTTAGGAAGCTTACTCGGAGATGGCAGATTGGTCACTGTAAAATCATCTCACAGAACGCTGTACGGTATCAGAGAAGAAGATAAAACAGAGGCCGAGTTCCAAAAAGAAAAAACAGAGACCAGTTTCCATCTCGATCGGAATCGCAAAAACCACCTCCCAGAATTCGGCGACCCATGGCCCGGGCTGAGAAACCTTGAGGCCAAAGCGATGACTAAGAAGAAGAAGCAATGGAGGGCAATTGGGGGGAGAGAGATAGAGAGAGGGAGATAGGGAATGACAAATTCATTGAATCAATCGGAGAGAAAGTTGCGTAGATTGGAGAGTGGAGGAAGGAGATAATTGACTAATTTCCAAAACCAATAGTTTCACTCCTTCCTTCCTTTGCCTGCTGCTGTTTCTCGCCCTGTTTTTCCTTTCTATCTTTGCCTTCTCTCATTAATTTTGGATTTTTACTACCTCATGGTACAAAGAAACTTGCAACCCACAGGTGGCTGAGAATCACATTGTTGTAAAGGGTAGTGCGGAGCAAGCGAGCATGGATGTGGCCGAGGGTAAATGTAATTGAAGGATTGGAAAAGTATAAAGTAATTGGAAACCAAGGATGATGGCGTAGCTGGTTCTTCCAATGTAATGTTGAAAAAAAGGACTTTGTTGCACTGGAAGGTAGCAACCGCTACTATTCTGAACCGACAAGCTTGGGATTGCAGGAGGAGGAAGGGAAATCGGGAGAAGCGGAGAGAGCGAGAGCGGCTGAAGCGGTGCGGTGGCAGAGCAGCTGAAGCGCGGCGGATGAATCGGGAGGATAAAGGAGTAGTATTCCCCGTTTGTTCTTCTTTTAATGGTTTATAATTTTTTTTTATCTTTTTAATTGTTAAAATGAGAAATGAGGTGGAAAATTTTAAAAATTAATTTTTATTTGTTTTATTATTTTTGAACTGCCATGTCACACACTTAACGATCAACTATAAAAGTTGACTGCCACATAAGCAAAATTTAACAGAATTGGACGGAGAGTGACCAAACTTGAAACGTTTAACTAATTTTAGTGACCACAAATGGAATTAAATATTTCCAGTGACTAAATATGAACGTTTTTAGTAATGTCAATGACCAACCATGCAATTTACCCTTAATAGGGGGTGTCATTTTTCCAACCCTTTTAGGGTAGGCATGCTATCTCATCCTATAGAAGGATAGAATAATCCGCAACATATATAAAGAAAGCCCGACCTGATGATCCGGAGACAGGATTGGTTGGTACTAGCTATTCGATCCAAAATAAGAAAGCAATGACCTCTTGAGAAGAGGTAAGAACCCAAACCTTCTTTATGAGTCATTAATGAATGACAAATTTGAATCTATGACATATGATTCTATGCATGGAATTGAGATTTGAGAATGCTAGAGAACCGAGATTTGATGCATGATTATTGAGATGTGCTTTTCCTCGATGATTAGAGTATAAATTTGAATGCATGCTGCAGAATAGAGTAATTTTGTTTACATGAGTGTGTGTGAAGAATATATGGGAATAGAATAGGTTAACTTCCCCACAGTGACGATATTGTAAGAAGTACTATCATCAGTACTACACGAACCACTTAGGTTGTTCTGAAACATTAAAGTTTCAAGAATGAAAGCAGCAAGCCGAACCAGATCCACACCAAATAGAATGGTACCCTTTGTGGTAAACTATAAGATTGCGTGCCAATCCTCTAAGAATGACTATGTGTTTCCCTGCTAAAGTTGCGAGTAACTAGGTCATATGACATGAAAGTGTAAGAACAAGTTAACCTAGTGTAAACTTGACTAAAGAAGAGAATTTGATGATAATGATCACTGAAGTGATGAAAGAAGTAGGCCTTAATGGTAACTCTGAAGAATGGTGGTTGGATATTGGCGCCTCAAGGCATGTGTGTGATAAATGAGCTAAACTCAATCATACATTGAGGTGTATCGAAGGAAAAAGTGTTGTTGGGAAGTGCCCTCACCACTACTGTCGATGGTTCTGGAAAAGTGGAAGTGAATCTTACCTTTATAAATATCAGAGGTCACTAGAATTAGAATATCAGAGGTCACATTCCCATATTTCTCTTGAACGCTTAAGATAAATATGAATTTTGTATCCAAGTTAAATGACCCATAAATATGTGGTTAGAAAATCAGAATAGATAGATCTGATTTATTTTGATATGGGTAAACGTGATAGAAAGACAATAGAAGATTATTGCTCTATAGGGTGCTATGATAGGTTGTTTGATAATTTGAGATGCTTATTTGAGTTCACTGATTATTTGATATATGTTGCATGCTTGTGGTAGAAGAATCAATGTAATATGATGACTAGTAGAGCATATGAATGTATTTTAATTGGTTAAACAATATTAAAACACATAAACCAATGAAATGAAATACTCATTATGTTGTGGAATCCATGGATGCCAATAGACTTCCATTTAAAATAAAGAGATAGTAGGGGGTTGTATCCCACCTACTATTAGAAATAATAGAACTAGTGGGGTGGTGAATCTGAGTATGAACTCATAAGAAGAAAACGAACCATAATTCGATAAAGGATTTTGTTTATAAGTTTGTTATTTACAACCTAAGAAAGATGCTACAAGTCTGCTAGAAGTTCAAACTTCTGTAAGGTGCAAAATTGTGGGAAGAAGCCATTATTAATAAAATGGAATAATGAGAGTCTAATAAGACTTAGAAACTTGTAGAGTTACATTTTGGTTGTAAAGCCTTAGGTAATATATCGATGAAATCAATAAAGATTTGGCATCTTTGAGAATTACCTCATGGCAATGAAGCCTAGGTAAATAAATGGATTCTCAAAAGAAAACCGAAACCTAATGGTTTAGTTTATGAGTATAAGGATCGCCTAGTAGTTAAGACTTTAGGCAAAAAGGAAAAAACTGTAGATTTTCTTGATATATATTCACCAAATTTAGAATAACACCCAGGTATCTGATTGCTAGTGTGCATTAGATGGATGTTAAAATTGCATTTTGTGAATGGTGATTTAGATAAAGAAATCTACATTGGGACAACCTAAAAGGTTGTTATTCTTGAACATGCTTTTACAGTCTATGGTGAGACAAATCATGATATGATTTGAAACAGACTTTAAAGATCAAGACATGGATGGATGGTTCTCTCTCATGGTTTTTGAATGAAAGTGGCAAGTGCATTTGTTACTAACTTGAGAATGACACTTCCACTATAATAGACATGTTGATCCTTGTTGCAAAAACTCATGAGACGAATAAATGTGAAAAACCATGTTGAGTGAGAACCTTGATGAGAATGATCCAAGCGTTTCACTTAGAGATCCAAATGACTAGGAAAATGAAAGAAATTTTTTATAGATCAATCTAACTGTTTGGTTAAGATCTATAAGAAATACAAGTTGTGCACTTGCCTAAATGTTTGAAGATGCTAGTACAATTCGTAAAAAGAGCACCAAAGACGATGTAAGAAAGTAAGAACATACTAGCATCGATAGTCTGCGAGCGGCAGCTGATAAACACGAGACCTGACATAGTGGGGGTACTTGACAGGTTTATTGATTGTCCTAATATGAAGCATTAAAATGCTATTGAAAGGGGTCATGGCACACCTTAAAAGAATAGAAAAACCTTGGTATTTTTTATCAAAGGTTTTGCTGTATTGGTAGGGTATAGTGATGCGGACTAGAATACCCTATAGAGGACTCCAAGATAACCACAAGCTATGTTTTAAACATCGATAGGGAAGTTGTGTCTTGGAAGTCTAAGAAAAAGAAGTAAACGATCCTGGCTCAATCAACTATGGAATCAGAAATGATAGAACTAGCAATGGCTAGTAAAGTAGAAAGTTGATTTAGAGGGTCATTACTAGAGATTCCCATATGGGAAAGACCGTATCCCCCGGTATTGATCCATTGCGATAGCAATGGCTAAATAGAACCGTAACAAACGGTGAGAGGCGACAAGTTCGTCATAAGAACAGTACTGGAAGAGAGAGTCCCTAACTGTTGGAGCAGTAAGGGTGGATCACTTAAAAGAGAATCTAGTTTATCCTTTGACGAAAGCACTAGCTAGAGAGAAAGTCCAAAATGCCACGAAGGGTATGAGACTTATGCCTACCGAACCATGGATTACAAGTAATGGTAACCCGACCCGATAGACTGGAGATCCCAAGAAACGGGTTCAATGGGTAATAACAAGCCATGCTTAATATTGAGAAAAGTTAGTGCATAGTGAAGCATGAATCCCAAAGCCTTGGAGGGTGAGTTAAACTCTTAATGAGATCTATACTCTATGTGGAGTGAAGTAATTTACTTTGGGGGTACTTCTGATAGACTCACCTATGTGAATGTGGGAGTGGGGCCGCTCCCTATGGAACTTTGGAGGCACAAAGTTGCTAGAGCGTTCACTAAATCGGGATAACATGCATGGCCATAAACGCACGGCCTATGAGAGAATATCACTCAACGAAAAAATCCGGTGTGCTACACTGTCTGAGATAGGGTTCACGACTACGAGTCACCCTTATGAAATCAAAAGTGTAACCACTGTGCTAAGGTTCAAATCTTCGCGATACCTTAGTTTATGCCCGATCTTATGGAATTGTTGATGCTCAGAGATAGTTTCAAAACTATTCAAGTGGGGGATTGTTGGGATGAATAGCTTTGAAAAGCTATAAATGAATTCCTAATTAATTATCCAGTATTTTCCCATAATACGAAAATAAGATGGATAATTAATAAATGGAATATTATGGAGATAATTAGGATTAATTATCTTAATAGTATATATTTTTATTATGGCAGTAATTATCTTCCTGATTAAAATGTGACTTATTCCCAAAGAAAGAGGGAATATTCTGGGTTTTCTGTTCCTATAAATAGCAGACCCTCATACTCTCTAAAAAAACACTGGAAGAGCATAAACACGAGAGAGAGAGAGAGTTCATAGAGCTCCGGTTTCGCACAAAACCGATGAGCAACATAATCAGAGTGGTTGTTTTGTCCTGGAGGCGACCAGCTGATAGTCTGTTGTGCGCATTACGAGGCAGTGCCGCAAACGTCTTAAAGAGAGCGACCTAGTCCGCGACTCACCAAATCGACAACCCTAATTTTTTATGTTTGATTTCTATGAGGAATTGGGAGAGTGTGAGTACGGCGAGAGAGACGGGTAGCTGCGCAACGAAGGAGAAGCGGTCGGCGGCGACTAGGGTTCTCAGCATTCATCCACTCCGATTTCTTTCTGTCATTTGTTTAAATAAATTTTAGTTTTCTTATTTTGTAGTTTGTGAAGCCAGGTTCATATTATTTGCAAACGTATCCTAGTGATGGAAGTGGGCTAAGGGTAAATATAAACAAAGGTAAGTTTATATTAATGGCCCCCCAATGTCTTCACATGCAGCAGTAAGGCCCAGCGTTGAGTGACGAAAATGAACTGAAAGCAAGGTTGTCAAACTAGTTTATATCGTTGTGCCGGTTTGGCAAGTGGAATGGTACGACCGGTGGTATAACTAGCTTGTGTCGGTTCATGTCGGTTTAAAAAAATGTGAAAACAATTAATATCCAATGTATTTAATCATATATAAAACATATTTGTGGACAATTTAGTTACAATCCAACAAATATCATTAACTTTTAACTATTACATTCATAAAATGAATAATAAATTAATTTTTTTATTTATTAAATTCATTAAAATAATATTATTTTACTTAGAATGCGTAAGTCGATCATACCGGTCATACCGGTGGTGTCATGCCGATTTCATGACCGGCACAAGTTGAACCAGGTTGAACCGGGTGGCATGCCACCGGCGTGACAACCATGATTGAAAGGCTTGAATAGTGTGGAGGTAAATTACCATTTGGGGTCTCCGGAAATTACTCCATGGCCAGCAATTTTGAAATACTAAACTATCACCAATTCGACTATAATATATTTGTAGATTTGTCTTTTAAGTTGATTGTTGATAAAAAAAAATTAATGTAGTCAGTAGCCACTTATCTTTCATACTTTGTTTTCTTACTTTAATTTCAAACTAGATAAATTTAAGGGTAATGTCTATTTTTTATCCAAATTTTTTTCAGATTCTTTTATATTATCTAAATCTATCAAAATGCTATTAGTTAGTCAAATCTTTCGTAATACATCAAAATATTAACAATTTTTACGTTATCGTTAATAATTGTGTAACTCTTTTCTCAGTTAAAATACTAAACTTTTGGAATGTTGACCTCCATGTGTCTCTTCCAAGTAGGGGTGGGCATTCGGTAAAACCGAACCTAACCGAACCGAATTCAAACCGAACCGAAACCGAATAACATTACTTCGGTTCAGAATTCGGAAGAGAAAAGGGTATATTTCGGAAACCAAGGTCCTTTCGACCAAACCGATTTTCCGAATTCCGAACCAATTTTTCGAATTACTATAATTGCAAGTTCCTAATGGTGAATTTTTATGTTTGTACTTATTATAAGACTTAAATATTTGAATTATGTTAGTGTTTTATGAGTTATGTGTTGAAATGTTTGATTTTATCATTGATGATGCATTTAATTGCATATTTATTGTTTACATTAGGGGTGAAAAATAATTTGAAAGAGAAAAAATACAAGCTAACCTCACAATTTCGGTTTTTCATACAAAACCGAACCAAACCGAATTATCATTCGGTTTGAAACGACCGAACCGAATTATAATTCGGTTCGAATTCGGTTTGAGGTTTGATGGAACATGGAAACCCGGTATACATTATTTCGGTTCGGTTTGAACCGAATCGACCGAATGCCCACCCCTACTTCCAAGTTAGTATCATGTTGCCAAGTCAATATTACTAAAAAAACTGCTAACTGAAAGTTAACATTTGGCTAATTCTTAGTATTTTGATAGGTTTGAATAATATAAAAGAATCTGAAAAAGGTTTGGATAAAAAATAGACATTACCCTAAATTTAATTCAACTTATAAATTTATATCTTCAAAGATAATTTTGAATATATACCAAATAATTTAATTATTTTCCCCATATTCAGAGAGCATGTGGATAACAGGGGCAGGGCGATTATATTTGCCGCACTCCGTAGCAAGGGATTGAAGCACCAGTCGATATCACTGCGTTTCGTTTGGATTTAGTAGCTTATAGCAAATATTAATTTTGTTTGTTTAATTACTATGTTTTGTATGACCCGTCTTTGCAACACAAATATTTAAACTCAGTTTTAGTGAAACTTTCTTGAACCTCTATTCAATCCTTTCTTCATGACTTATATATTCAACTATTAAATCCAACTAGGATCTTTACCTATCTTTTTGGTTTACCGCTTACAGTATAAAGCAATGAAATCTGCTTTCTCTCTCTTCAATATGGTACAAAAGGAGAAACGATAAATACTGGAGATGACCAGTTTTGCATAAAATAAATACTGGAGCTGGCCAGTTGAACTGCATCCAAGATAAGCGTACCAAAAACTCCTTATCATTTTGAATCTGCTTAAGGATTCCTCCATATGCTAGGTCAGAGGCATCGGTTTTGACGATTTTAGGGAGAGAAGGATCACTTATGTGAAGGCACTGGAGACTCTGAACCTGCATCTTAATTTGCTGAACTATTTTGGTATGCTGGTCACTCAAGGAGGGGGGCTCTTTTTCAATCTATCATGGAGAGGTTTACAAAGAAGATTGATGTTGGGATAAATTCAAGAACATAATTTAAACTACCCATGAATCGTTGTAATTGATTTTTGTCTAAAATTTGATCAGGAAATTTATTTTCAAATTGAAGAGATCTTTCGATTGGAACAATTGTTCCTTGACTAATGTAGTGACCCAAAAAAGGTATCTTAGTTTGAAAAAGACAAAGTTTTGGTTTAGAGGCAGCTAGACTGTTATGTCGAGTGACTTCAAGATTGAGATGTTTGAAATGTTGGTCAATGGACGAAGAAAAAACCAGGACATCATCAATATAAACTATTATGAAATCAAAATTAGGAGAGTAGATTTGATTCATAATTCTTTGAAATTCGGAGGGAGCATTTTTCAAACCAAACAACATGACGTTCCATTCATATTGGCCAAAGGAAACGGTAAAAGCAGTTTTATAGCGGTCTGTTTCTTTCATTTTGATTTGCCAAAATCCGGATTTCATGTCAAATTTAGAAAATATTAGGGACTGTGAAAGTTTCTGCAGTAGATCCTTTTGGTTGGGGATATGATACATAATCCATTTCAGAGCCTTATTCAACGACTTGTAGTTTATAACAAGCGAGGAACGCCACGTTCCTTTTCTACATTATTAATGACATAGAAAAGCAGAACAACTCCAAGGGGATTGGCTAAATCTGATAAGGCCCTTATTGAGCAATTCTTTAATTTCTTGTCGACAATGTTTTTCAAGGTTCAAATTCATTTGGATAGGCCTAGCCTTGGTGGGAATGAGATTTTCTATGAAATCTTTTTCCTAAGGGAGATCAACCTGATGTTGTTTTTTATGCCAAAAAGCATTGGGTGTATCAGCATAAATAGAGCTTTCAATGTGCTCTTTAAAAGAGTTGACTCGTTTTTGCAAAAGGGGTTGAGAAAAGTTGTTGTAAGATTCGCTGAAAATGTATCTCCTCATGCAAATAAGATATTTAATTAGTTTTACAACGAATTATATGGTGTATATATTTTAAACAAGAACGTCGTAAAACATTTAGGTTTTGAACTTTTGGTTTTTGGAGAAACGAGAATTCAACATTGTTGCCTAACACAACAGTGTTAATTCCTTGGTCGGTGACGGTAAAAGGTTTTAGAAGATTTAGAAAAGGTGTCCCTAGGATCACCTTTTGTTGCATGTCACGTACTAGGATAAAAGGAGTTTTGAATTCAACATTTTGATGACAAATTAAAGCATTAGAAAGTTTATATTGTACTTGAAGAGGTTGAGAGTTAGCGGTAGATAGACGCTCGAGGATCTTTTAATAGTACTTAGTTGGAATTAATCCTTCTTGGATGAAGTTCATGTCTGCTCCTGTATCAAAAAGGGCCAATGTGCTTCAAGTAAAATCAGAAGAAACCTGAATATTAATGATAACATTGTTATGAAACTAATGAAAATATAAACAACTACAAGAGAAGATTAGAGAGGAAAAGACACAAGAGAAGAGAGGGGAAGAGTTCTTCTTATTCATTCTTCACTTTTGATACAATGGTGTGCTATATAGGCACACTTTGGTAACCACTACATCCTTATATCAATGCATATGAATGAGAGATAATAATGTAGGAATAGGGGTTACATGTAACTCCCAAGTGAGCATCTAATGTGGTAATGGCAATGGTCATCCATATATCAATATTTACATAATACTCCCCCTTGGATGACCATTAGATTGCATTACGTTATCTCATACTGCCTCGTTAAAAACCTTACCAGGAAAACCCAGTGGGAAAAAACCATGGTTAAGGGAAAAAGAGTGCAGTGCGTATATGCTCCCCCTCATGACCACATCACTTCAAATCTTTGAGTCGTTGAACTCAAATTTCACGAACAACTTTTATAAAGATTGTTGTCGGGAGTTAGTTAGTGAACAATCTTCTAGATTGTCAATCTTATGCATGATCTTTAGATTTTCTTTATACATGATCCTCAGGATCATTTCATTTGAAAATAGTTCACAACCACAAGTACTTGAGATATGGTGGATCACAAAGTGTAACGAAAGACATTCGGGACTTGCCCATTATAGTTTGTTTTGTTTCTTTATGAAACATTTATATCACCATATATAAGAGATAGCTCGTCTCCGATCAACCAATATAAGGATCAATTGATATATAAGATTTGGATATATAGTTTACCAAATCTCTCTTTGATAATACCATAATAGAACAATCGCAAATATTGTTCCTGGAGGTAACAAAGTATTTTCCAACGTTCAATATGGTACTTCAGGACCTAATGTTTCACTTCTTTCTTGATTTCTAAATGGATCTTTGGTCACTTCTAGTGATCTTAGGATCCTAATGTTATTTGATGAACACAATTCGTTCATGCAAAATTACTTTCCCACTTTTTCAACATTACCTTCCTTGCCCATAAAAAGGATCTTAAATCCTTCAATTTAACTTATGTCTCGAAGCAATCAACTGCTTTAGGAAGCTCTTCAGGAGCTCCAATAATAGACATATCATCAACATAATATGAGATCGTCACAAAAAAAAACTTGAGTAAAACAAATTGAAGCAATCAATTCTTTCATATCACGAAAGATATTAACAAAACACACATCAAAGAAACATATGAACTAGACAAATCACACTCATAAAATACAACTCATACTTTAAAGTAAATCACAACTCATAAATCAAGAATTTAAATCCTTGAAGCACATACAGACAACACAATTATATATGCACAATGCAAATGCTCTAATGACTCTATCCGGATCTAACCTTTTAAGGTTGATTCACCATACTGTTGTAGGTGTTCTCTTAGACGAGTATTTCACAATCGTCTATATTGTCTCAACCCACACAAGGGATTTTCTTAGTCTATCGATATATGTTCTCGAGAACTTTACTTGTTTACTTCAGGTAAATGAATTCTTCTAGGAGTAACTAATCCTTCTGGGAGTTTCAAATATATATAACATCTTCAGGTAATTCAAACAAATAGGCCATCACAACAATTTTCAAACATTGATTTGAAAAAGTAGTTGCATCCACCACAAAGGAGTATAACTCCTCTTAAACAATGATAGGTCTCTTCGAGAAACCATTGCAAAACATTGTGCTATATCTCTCACAATTTCATACTTTCCAGTAGCACAAAAATTTGTTTGTATCCCGCTAGTTTTGCCCTTTTTTAAGTGCAAGGACTTCTGGTCCTTAAACTTTATGCTCCTTGAGCAAGTTTCATGATTTTTTTCTATATTGGCCAATAACATCATCATTTGCATGCATCAATAGAGTTTTACTCTTGATCCTCACTTATATATATCATATTCAGTACTGAAGTACAACAAACAAATTTCGTCGACAATGACTTCATTTCGGTTCCAGTATTGTAGTCTAATATATTTTTGAGATCTCTTCCCTTTCACAACTTTCAGAGACATGTGTTCTTATGGAACTAAAATTATACTTAATTCTTGGTTACTCTTCTTCAGTTTTCATGTCCTCGAGTTGACCATTCTAATTACAGCTCCTTTTATTTCTTGAGGATGTTTATCATTGGAACCGATTGGTCTATCACGCTTCATGCGCTCTTTCATACACATTTTTTTTTAATATTAGAGTATCCAACAAGGATGTCAAATTTAGTTGGAGCATTCACAGCTAGTATATTTGACTTGGTCACTTCGTATGGCCAGTAAAGGCATTTGATAGTTGGTAACGATAATTCATCTTATGAACTTCAGGTTCATGTTTCTTACTTTGAGGATCAAAACTAGATAATGATAACTCATTCCAACTCATCTCTTTGTCTAGCTGTTTTTTTTCTCTCCCCCCCTTAATGTTGGAAAAGTGATTCATCAAAACTATAATTTCGTAAACAAATTTCCCATTTGGGATTCATTCCCAACACAAATTCTCAATTTCCAACGAGAATCAACTTAAGATATTGTGGTGGAGCAATTGGGATGTATGCGGCACACCCTGATATTCTCATATGAGAAATGTTAGGTTTTTGACCAAAATCATTTGTAAAAGGGGGGAACTTATGATAACTTGTTGGTTAGATGTGAACCAATACTATCCCTTGCCAGCTAGCATGTCCTCGACAAGAGATCAGAAGGCTTAGTTTGTTCTCTTAAGAAAAGTGATGTTTGATTGGATAATCATAAAAATGTATCCATAGTGAGGCAATCAATCTCGCAAACATCGGGTTTCGATTAGATAAAATAAAAGTGATCATATAAAATCTCCAGAGATTTGCCAACTCTTATACAAGCTCTGATCAATTGTTCTATTCTCCTTGAGAACAAACATGGCATAATAACTCTTTTAGTTGAAGATTTCTTTAACTTCTCATATGATGTTCTCATGAATTCTCAAAGAAATTTTTTCACATCAAGATCCGGGATGGTCTAACCGGACCAACCAATTATAAAGTTATCAAATCTTGTAAACTTCTGGTTTACACTTGTATGTGTACGGATTGTACTAATATACATGTAGTACATATTTGTGATGCAAATATTAGTTTCACTATTTTCTTGATAAGATATTCATTTTACGAATATCCTTTTAATTGGGTAATGCATAATCACTAGGTAGTGTGGTTTCTTCAGACCACAAAATTAGCTCCTTTAAATCTTCACCATATTTTGTACCATATTCCACCCTTCCGGGGACTTATGATGTGATGCATTCTTAGTAAACACAAATTCATAGTGAATATCATCACAAATTGTTATCGCGAGTACATAATTTAGTTACTTCAAGTAACCAAACATAAGCTCTTCGGAAGCTTTTTCTTATTTATGTACTCTACCATATAGTTTATATGGAATTTTTCTAATACTCATACTTTATAAAAACATAATAAAAGTAATAAATGAGAATATTTCAAACTTAAGACACAAATGATGAATTTATCAAGTTAATTGTTCTAGATAAAGGTTATCAAATTAAGTTATGCATGAAAAATAACGTCACAATAAAACATAAAAGAAATAAGAATCATAATACTACAATTGTGCAAATTAAATAAGATTTATTTGGAACAATACCATTACTAACTAGGTGATTTTAAATTTATATATGCGTTTCATTATACATTATAATGTACAACAGGTACATTATGTTATCATGACTTTGATAATGCAATTATGGTGTCATCCTTATTTAATTCTCCTTTTTTTCCTCTTTTCTCACTTCTGGTGAAAATATCCAAACAATACATTTAACATATATATAATTATGTTTATAGTTCCATTCAGTTCGGAGAATAGATTGTTTCATTCACTTCTGGAAATGAAAATGTCTCAAGTGCAATATCATTTTCATCTTTAATGGAGAATATACCAACCAAGGTTGTCAAACCGGTTTATATCGGTGTGCCGGTTTAGAAAGTGGAATGGTCCGACCGTGGTACAACCAGTATTCATGCCGGTTGTGCCGGTTTTAATAAAATATATGAGACAAATGGAAATCCTCAATTCCAAATAAATTAGTCATCATAAAGCAATTAGAAAATTATTTCACACAAAATAATTTATAGCTAAGAATTGGTAAATAATACTAAACAATTATATGCTTAAAAATAAAAGTATATAAAATGAATTTTATTAATGTTTATAATGATTTGTGTAAAATTAAGTATTAGATATATAATATATAAGGTTAATATGTACAACAAAGTTGCTTGTAGCCTACTGGTGTATAAGTGAGACTAAAATAAACATGAGGTACTTGGTTCAAATCCTAAGGAAGGTGTTTATTTTTGGATAAAATATGTGTAACATTGAATTCCGATTTCTGGTCTAACCGGCCGGAATTTCCGGAATTGACCGGATCTGACCGGATCTGACCACAGTTAAATACCGGCCTCTTTCCAGCCGGTTTGGTGACCGGTACCGGTTGTACCCGGTTGAACCGGCCGGCACGAAACCGGTTTGACAACCATGATACCAACTTATATTACAAAAAATATATTCCATAATATTGATATTGCATGAGCATATTTGAATTTGCTCTTCTCTTTGATTCTTGGTAGAATAAAGTCTTTTGCGTACAACGGGTACGAGACAAGCACACTTTTCCATTACAATGGTAACATACAAAACCAACATTCTTATTACCATGTCCTTTTCTTTCTTTGCCCTTGAATTCTTCAATTTCCACTTCTAGGGAATATATGGGCTTTTTGGAACTTACATTTTCTACATATCAATGTGGGATTGATAAGAACATGATAACACGGAGAAATGAAAAAATAACTCATCACTTATATTACTTTTCTTGTTAATCCAAATAGATTGACGTGATAAAATATCAATGGATACGAGAAAAGAGTAGCACACATCTTGATATATTGGAATGAGATAATCTCAACACAAATAAGACAATAAGATAAGAAAGTATATAAGATTTACATACCTTGATCATATTGTGATCTTACTCCAATATACTAGATTGTGTAGAGAGACAATGACCAACCCTAATGCTAGCAGAGCTTCGTGCTGATAACGTGTTATGAAACTAATGAAAATATAAACAACTACAAGAGAAGATTAGAGAGGAAAAGACACAAGAGAAGAGAGGGGAAGAGTTCTTCTTATTCATTCTTCACTTTTGATACAATGGTGTGCTATATAGGCACACTTTGGTAACCACTACATCCTTATATCAATGCATATGAATGAGAGATAATAATGTAGGAATAGGGGTTACATGTAGGGATGGCAACGGGGCACAATGGGGCGGGTAGTAGTAGATCCGCGCCCTGCTCTGCGATTATGTAATTTGCCTCGCTCTGCCCCGCGATCCACCACGGATTAAAAAACTTTAATCCGTGCCCCGCCCTGTACGGGTCGTGTAAAACCCGCCCCGTCATTTTCTTGTTAAAAAAATTTACTTGCTAAAACTTAAAAAGATGGAACATATATAATAAACTTAAATTGCAAGATGCAGTGGACCACTGCCACTGGCTACCGAATTCTAACAATATTCCCAACTACAATCATAGAAATTAAAATGACAATGAAAAGCAAATTCTCTAGATAAACTAAAAATCCATCAATGCTCCCAGATCAAAAGTGAAGTGTTAGAGCAATAACATAAATCACAATCTCCCCAATCTAAACTAAAGTTCATTGACAAAGAAACAAGTTCTTCTTCTCCATCCAAAAGCAGTGATCACTAATTCACCATGCCAAAAGCAAGTTCTCCTTTTCCAGCCAAAACAGTAGACAACAGTAGCACCTGGTGAGAGGAAATCAAGAGAAACATAATGAAAAATGGATTCTTGACCAGCTGCATATATAAACCTGGAGTTGTACAGTGCAAAAGTAAGAGAAAAACAATAACCTTGACTTAGAAATGAGCATGCATAAGCTAGCTTTGACCTTTATTAGCACCCTGTCCCTGTTGCTGCAAATTAACATCAATCTCATTCAATGCATCATCAAACAACCGAGGAAACTAAATGGCAAAGAAAGAAAATGGCTGCAAATTATAACATACCTGAACTTCAATCTCCACCTCTACATCAGAATCATATAGAACAGTACCACGGGAGTAATCCTTTGATGATCCAGCTATACATATATTCAAAGAAATGAAACAAATGTAAGCTATTGACAAAACTATAAACACAAAAAAGCTTTTAACTTTTTAAATGGCAGTAACAACAGTGTTAAAGTAATTACCTTTTAAACCAGCAAATAACCAACTCTGAGTACACATCAATGTTTCTATGGTAATCGGGTCAAGCCTACTACGATGTGGAGAAATTATCCTTCCACTCATACTGAAAGCAGATTCGAAAGCAACAGTAGAAACTGGAATCGCTAAGATATCCCTTGCAAGTTTATGCAGTATAGGAAATTTGCCTTTGTTTGACTTCCACCAGCATAAAACATCAAAACCTTGTGTTTTAGGAAGAATTCCATCATCCAAATACACATCCAGCTCTGATCTTGCAATTTTTCTTTTCTTCTGAGAAGCATAAAGATCAAACTTGGTAGTAAACATTTCTCCATCTGCTGCATTTACTTGTGAGGCCCTCATATGATTATGTTTTTCAGTATCCTCTTCTTCTCTATCTTGTTCCTCTTTTTCATATTGCTGGTATAAGATACGACAAATGCCCAAAATCTTCTCTACTTCCTCTTCACAATTCTCAGGATAGATCTCACCATAGTAACAATTCAGCACCTCTTTTTTGTACCTTGGGTCAAGAATCGCTGCCACTCCCACTAAACCATGCACATTAGACCAATATTTGTTAAACTTCTCTATCATATCAAACGCCATCTTCTCAATTGCTGCAATCCCACAAACACTCCAACGATCTAAAGCAAGCTTAGCCTCACAAATAACAGAGAAACACATATTCACAGTAGGGTATTCAGTGCCAGATAACAGTGTAGTGGCATTATAAAAAGTCTTCAGCCTATCACATATTTCCTTGCTCAAAATCCAATCATCCTCACTTGGATAACACTTGTACTTTGGTTCACGAATTTTCAAGCGAGCAAATACCTCTTTATACTCTAAGGCTGTATTCAGCATCATATAGGTAGAGGTCCAACGAGTTTCACAATCAAGGGTAGGCTTCTTACCAGATGTGATACGAAGCTTGTTTTTAAGTTGACAAACAGTTTCTTCAAATTTTTCCAATCTCTTCGAGGTTCCTATCCAGAATCGAATGTTGTTTCGTATTTTCTCAATTCTTGGTCCAATGACCTTCAACCCTTCCTTCACGATCAAATTTAATATATGCGCACAGCAACGCATGTGGATCAAAGTACCATCAACCAAAAGAGACTCCAACTCGAGCTTCTGTAGGAGCAGATTCACCATCACATCATTGGTTGAGCAATTATCAACCGTGATAGTTGACAACTTATGGTCAATATTCCAGTCCAGCAAGCACTGCTTCAGCTCTTCACAAAGTGCTTCGCCTGTATGTGGAGAAGGCACATATTTAAACCTGAAGTAACAGACAAATGAAAGCACTTGAGTTCCAAAACTAAAAAAGTCATTGTAATTTGTAAGAAACAAACCAGGCAGCAAGAAACAAACCAGTCACAAAGAACTAAGTTTGCAGAATATGGTATACCTGATAATTCGATTCTGCAATCTCCAACTTTCATCGATGTAATGGGCAGTGATTGCCATAAAGCCCTTATTCTGAGATGATGTCCACATATCAGTTGTTATAGCCACACGACATTCACTTCTCTCAAAGAGTTTCATTGTTGCCTCCTTCTCGAGTTCATATAAGCTAAAACAATCTTTTTTAATTGTGTTCCTTGACACCATCTTGAAACATGGATTTAAGCTCTGGCAAAAGCTTCGAAATCCTTCATGATCCACTATGGTCAGGGGATACTCATGTTTGATAATTGCTCTTGCAAGCTCTTTGCGAGAATTATCCTGATCAAAGCTGAAAGGAGTAAGCTGGAACTTATCTTTACCCATGTTACCTTGTAAAACTTGTTGCTTTATGTCTGTGGCTTTCCTTTTAGAACATCTATAATAGTGATTCTTCAAATGGGTTGTCCCTTGCTTCGGGTCTCCAACAAGCTTCTTACTGCAATACTTGCATTTAGCCTTTGGCACTCCATCAACTTCTACTTTATGATAATGTGCCCACCACTTTGAATAAACCTTCCCAGTGTACCAGTACCACGCTGGTGATTCTCGTTATTATTTGTTGCTTCAATAGGGGGATCTTGAGGCTGGACAGCAACAACATTTGAAGGGTTTGGCACAACCACAGGCTCAGATTATGGAGCAGAAGCGTCCATGAGTGTGGCTGCCGACAGGGATAAACAAATAATAACAATCAATACAACAAATTGATATTGCAGTCTGGAGGTGTAGAACGATGAACAAATTACTTAAAACAGGACAATCAGCACAAGAAATTAAGATTGCAATCTGCAGTGTAGAGCCAACTTACAAGTAATAGCAAGAACACAACTTGACCTCGACAGCTCCTGCTTGGCAGTGAAGGAGATGAAGATGATATGCTATTATGAGTTCTGATGATGTAGTCTTCTGCGAGCCCTTCATCTTCTATTTTAAAGCCTCTAGTTTATGGGGAAGCTAATGGAGTTATTGATGACAGAGGGAAAAGTTGGAAGATGATTGGGAATTTGGGAAGACGGAAGATGATAGGGAATTTTGGGAAGTTGGAAGGTGATGGGGAATTTCAATTTTGGGAACTCAAAATGTCTTGGGTAGA